TCCAACTTTCATACACTGAACGAGAAATTTATATTGCAATTACTGTGATGGGCCTAAGACTAAGATTTAGTACTTTATTTACCAAAAGACCAAATTAAATAAATCTTTATAGTGGTAAACCAGTGATAGACAATGCAAAAGCCCATGTGTTGGTCTAACAAGGGAAGTACACTGTTTTTTATGTCAGATGCCCTTCCTAATATAACCTTACATTGCTGCAAAATGTACACTGACTTGTTTGGAACTAGCTGTGAAAACCTTGTTAACCTTTAATAAATTATCTTTTCTCTGTGGACTGTTTTGAGAAGCAATGACTGAAATCCATTATGAAGGTATTAAAATGTAATATTGTGAAACGTGACACACTTCACTGGAGATAAAGTGGAATTCTCTTGTCAAATATCACTGTAGTTTATGGTTTGATGAAGACATAGCACAGACTTTGAGATACTGGAATTCATACAATCTTTTGGCTGGGACTGCTACCTCTTGCCTCTTGCTACTTTGAAATCCACTGAACTCGAGTGTGTTTTGCGATCACCAAACACACAGACAATAACATCCTGCCTGCAAAGTATCATAATTTAAATTAGTTTTTTTCTTTCACTTCATCTTTGCGCTTGTTCTAACTTTCAGCTGTCAGCGGGAGGGGGCGAGGAGACCAAACACAGGCCAGTGCTTGGACACAAATCATTTTCTCCTCAGAGACTCAACTTTTTCACATTCAGACTGAGGTAATGTACACTGCTCCCCTGGGACCAGAGTCATTTTTAAACACTGATATAAATACAGTTAATAATGCAATTGGACAAGACGGATAAGAACAGTCAGTGCTGCGCTAGAATTATGGTCTAGTTCTGGAGTCTGTCGTCATTGTGGTTCAAATTTACAACAAACTTAGTACTGCTGGTGTGCTCCATTGTGTTTTTAAACTCCATACACCTTCACAAGGGGCATTTGAATTATTTCAGGCCTGGAATTGACCATCTCTACTGAACAAAACTACAGCTTCATCACTTCACAAGGTGGAACGGAGGATTTTGAGTTTTGGAGCTGTAAACAGACTAATAATAAACACGTGTGAATGAAACAAAACACAACTCCAGGTATGTTTTTGATGAAGTAACAGGATTCGAACAGGCTTAAAGCTCACATGGGTCAATTGGGCGTATTATGCGACCTTTGATTTCAAATCCCATAAACATTACCTAACTGTGTCTCTGGATATGTGGTAGAAGTGTTCAAATTAAACACAATTTTCAGTGATAACAATTACATGTAGTTAGTGCAGTTAGTTACAATTTTTATAGGATGTGGTCTTCTCACTCTCTCTTGCGCTGTAATTTTTATGTTTTGTATCTGTTTGCAATGTTTTTTACTTGCTTAATTACAAAAAAATTGGACATGTCTCATTTATTTGGTGTTTTGGTTCTCAAGGCAATTATTCAATCAGAAAGTGGAATGATTCTCACATGAGGCTCTTATTTGGGCTGCCAGTTTCAATGCTCAAATCCAGATGTTTTAAAACGAAAAAGACTCTCTCTGATCTGAATACTCACTATCTAAACCCCAGCACCTCCAGTCATCCATATACTGAGAATGAGACTGATATATGTTCTATATATATGCAGGTTAAGGCACTAGTAGGATACAAATAGTTCCTTTAAAGTTGCACTGTGTAACTTTTCTGGTGGTGGGCCCGTTAAACGCTTTTCTCCATGGAGATATTGTTCTTTTGTCGAGAATGTTTCACAGTATGGTATTAAAACATTTCTATTTTCATGGACACCAAACCAGACCAAGTTACAGGTTAGATCTGTGGAGAGGCAACCCCGCCCACAGTCAGAATGCTTGTTTTTCTCAGTATTTGTGAGCTATAAAACCAGCAAATAAATGTAAGGTAGAGCTGTTTAATGTCATAATGTGGAACATTCTCGCCAGAGCAATGACATATCCATAAAAATAAACAGGTGACGGACCACCAACCAAAAAGTTACATAGTGCAAATTTAAAGTCTTATACATTGTTATCACTTTAGCCCTTGTTTGGTCTAGTTTAAGTAGACCACTAGGATCTGTCTTGGTCCACTTACATTGGAGTCTATTATTATTTAGTCCCACTTAAGTGCTCTGTAATGAATCAAATTTGAATTGAACTGTGATCCAGTCATTTCAAATCCTCAATGATTATCTTTGAGTTTTTTTAATTGTGAGGTCAGTAAAAACATGTGGATTGGAGCAACTTTCAGACTTTAAAGGAAGTGATTTGACCAATGTTATTGTAAATGGCACTGAGTAAAAGTCTGGTTTATGTTAATGAAAAGGATGCTGAAAGATGTTTTGTTTTGCTTGACTATTTGTTTTTGAAAGAATAAAAAACAAGACTGATTCATTTCAGGAAAAAAAATATTTTTTTTGCCATATTGTGGGATTTGGTTTAAAGGTGTATTTTGTAACATTTCCGGTGGAGGGTCTGTCAAATACTTTTCTCCATGGAGATATTATTGTTTTGTCTGGAATGTTTCATGATATTAATCCTTTATATTTTCATAGAGACCAAAGTTACAGCTCAGATCTGTGGAGAGGTGACCCTGCTTTTTTCTGGGTATTTTTGAGCAATAAAACCACCTGTAATTCAATAAATGTAAGGTAGAGCTGTTTAAAGCCATACGGTGGAACATCATAGGCAGAGCAATAACATATCTATAGAAAGAAACAGATGACAGACCCCCAACCAGAAAGTTACACAGTGCAGCTTTAAACTTGATTTCGTTGTTCATGATTTATAGTTCAGCCCATGTTATATCCTGACATCATGTAAGCTACACAAACTCCCCGTGGGCTGCCGTCATTTTTAACTCTTGCACAAATACAGTTTGTAATGTTACTTGACAGCACAGATAAGGAGCGTCAGGAGTACAGGGCAAGGCTAATTAAGACAACCGACCCAGATGTTGCAAAAGTCAGGAGCAAAGCACTTCCTTTTGTAGAAGAGGGAGAAGGTGACTGTACTCAAGAGAATGTATTTTATCAGTCAGTGACCCCAGGAAATAGATGTCCAAAACTCTAGTGTTGGTTAAATACATATTTACTTCTCATAAGATAGTCCTGGTTTAGAATTGTTTGGTCTTGTCTGAGTCCTTGTTCAGTCCCCGTAGACCTGTTTAACAACTGTTACAAAGATTTGGTGCTGGTTTACTTCTTTATCCTAAGTTTCATTTGGTTTTCTCTTGGGAGCTTTAAGCCATGCTTTAATGCTGTTACATCCTCAAAAACAGACCTGGAGTTGTGTGTTTCATTCACACATGTTTGAGTAACCCTTTATTATTTGGAAAAGTAAACAGACTTGCAGTGGTAGTTTTCAAGTTAACAGCTCCTCTGACCTTTAGGCCAGTACTTGGGGCTTAAATCATCCACATGATGAAGGTGTAGGGAGTTTAAAAACATAGTGGTGCACTTCTTGTATTACCATGACATCACAAGGTGGAGTGTTTTGTATTTGATAAGATTATTTAGGAAGCCTAAATATGCAGGTTTTTGTGTTAAGCATGTGTGAATGAAACAAAACACAACTTCTGGTTTGTTTGTGATGACAGAACAACATTACTACATAGATTATTATTATTATTTTTTTTAAGTGTAATTACTTTTTTTTAAAGTGTAATATAGGTGCTTTAAATCCTTGTTGATTACTGATGAAAAAGGTGGTCTTGTGTGTGTTTTCATTAGTCATGTGTTTCAAAGTGTTGAACTCTGTGTAAATAAAAATACAAAACAATTGAAAAAGTTCTACATGAGTAGTTTAGATTTAGACCTAGTTACTACTGTTTAAGTTCTGGTTTGGTCTTGCTTCCGTCCTCTTGGTGTAGTCGTGGGTCAGTCCTGCTTTCCATTAATTAGTCATATTCTGTTCCTGTTAATCTATTTCAGACACTTTGCAAGTCTGGTCCTTGGTTTATTTGATCTTTTGTTCTTTTGGTTGATTTTGACTTTGTTTAGTCTTGGTTTAGTTCTGGTTTGGTTCTGATTTAGGGAGCATTCACACTTATACCTACTTGGTGCTGGTTTGACTGCAGTTAATTCTGATGTAGGCTTGGTCTGATCCTGTACTAGTTCTGGCTTAGTCCTTGACAAGTCCATGTTTACTACTGGTTTTAGTCCCAATTTTAAGATGTATTCAAAGCTGCCAAAATACAACACCAACTTTAGGACTAAACTGGGACTAAACCTGAACTAGGACTAAAGGAGGACTACAAAAGGACTAAACCAAATTTACGTCAGCCAGATAAATTACATTTCCTGGGTAGTTTACGCCTTGTCCTAATGATGGGTTTCTTAAGTTACTTTGTTTATCCTAGGTTGGTTTTGGTTTAGTTCTGGTTTAGTTCTGGGTTGGTTCTAGTTTAGTTTAGACACGCTTTAATCCCACTTAAACCCTAGTCCTTGTATAGAGACCCGGTTTAGTGATTTAATTTAATTCTTTATATACACATTTTGTCCCCTGAGCTCAAAACGCCTCTTTAAGAGCCACTGCTGGCCTTGCAGAGAGACCAGCCTAATTTTAAACCTGAAATGGGCTGTTTGTGGGCTGTTGTTTAGACTTGGTTGCATTCTTGAGGAACAGTTTATTTTTATTTTACACTTTACAATAAACTGGGTCAACCACTATGGTGCATAAAACAAAAAGGGCACAGCCGGCTCATTTGCAACTACATAAAGATTCCTACTAAACTTGAATTTTATTGTTAAACTTAAATCCAGAATGAGACAAAAGCATATAAAATGGCTATAACATTTTTTAGCATTTCAGCATTATAACATGCATTCATGTTTAAGTACAGTGAAGAAACTTAGGTACACCTACTTAGTGAGAGTTAAATCTTGTCAAAATTTCAATGTTGTTTTTAGATTTACAATTAAACATGCATGCAAAAATTAAGTTACTGCTAGTAAAAGTGATAAATAGTAGCAGAAACCTACGATTTAAAATAACATACTTACTTGTTAGTTGTTTTGCCATAAGCCTGGGCAGCTCAGATTGGAGAAGGCAGGCAAGTAGAAGCATCAATTTTAAGCCCATTTTGAAACAACAGAAAATAAAATGATTGTAAATAAAATGATAGCTCTTCTCGTCTGTCTCCTCTCTCTGCTTCTCTACTTTTGAAAACAGTCCCCTTTTTTCCAGACTCCTCTAAACTCACCGCACTAACTACACCCTTTCTCTCCTCCTCAGAGCTGCCTGCTGGACGTCGCCATGGTGATTACAAAGACAAGCTGATTGGATGAAAAGGAGGAAGTGAGCTGTGTGCCTGTGTGTACTGCCAAAACATTATGGTAGGTTATACATGTTAATGTGATTTCCATAATTGATTGTTTAAATTAACATTTTTAACCTTTTGGGGAAAAAATGTTGTTATGATACATGTTGCTGTTAGGGTTAGGGTTAAAATCTAAATCTAAAAATCTAAAGTAAAGATAATACAGTATGTCATCAACACTCTCTGGGGGTATGATGCTAACTGTAGGCTCTACTCTGTCTGAAGCTCTGTTACTCAAGTTAGACTTTAATCTGAGCTGTTTTAACACAATTTGTTTATAATTAAAGAACTGATTTAACTGGAACTACAACAGGAGAACAGATTTGTGCTGTTAAACAAGTCCCTCAAGCATTTTTCTGGAGTTTTCAGACCATCTTAAAACTTTTAGCACTTTTAGTTATAGCTTATCTGTGCATTGTCACCATGTAACATTCCACCATAGACATACAGACAGAACACCCCCAGCACGATGTCACTGCAAAGTATCAATGTAATTCAGATGGACTAATATTAAATTTGACAGAACTGTTCTTTGCTTTATTCACACGTTTTTTCAATGGTTGACTGATTGCGTAACAATTCTAACTGCATTCCACAGATCTGACTAGTTACTTGGCCTGGTGATGTTACTTGCTCTGGAGGATAGTTTAATGCTATACTGTGGAACATTCCAGGACATTCCAAGACATAACTGCACTATGGAGACAAGCAGATATCTAACCCTCTACTAGAAAACTTGATTATTGCACCTTTTACATGTAGCACAAAATACCGTCTGAGCTAAAAAGGAAAGAAACATCTTAAATTAAATAAGTGTATCTAGTGTTTTAAGGTCCTGTATTACACAAAATTGATTTTTTGTGAACTTTAAGCTATGTTATAATGTTGTTACCTCTTCAAAAACATACCCAGAGTTTTGTATTGTTTTGTATTTTGATTCACCTTTTATAACTAGTTTGTGTACATCTCCAAATCTTAAAATGCTCTGGCCCACCTTGTGATGTCACCCAGTGGTCGTTTTCAAATTAACATCTACCTTTTACATTGCGTTCAGTACAGATTGGCAGTTCCAAATGATTCTAGTGAAGGTGTATGGAGTTTAAAAACATGTGATATGCAGGGTTTGTGTATTAAACATGTGTGACTGAAACAAAACACAACTCCAGGTATGTTTGTGATGAGGAAACAGAATTATAACATAGTAATACAAGCCCTTTAATCATGTATCTCATTTGTACTTTCCCTGCAGTTTGAGAACCTTGGAAACAGTTGTATGGTGCCACCCACAGACCAACAGCAGTGAAGGAAGTGACCGGTTACATTAAACTAAGCGGTTATGATGCTAACAAGTCCCAGCCTTGAGTTAGTGCTTTTACAATTGCTCCATAATGTTTGGATATAATCTTTCAAAACACTTTTTTCTATATTCGAGAAAAACATCCCCTGGTGTGTGTGTGGCTCGACTTGAACAAAACTTGTATTTGTTAGTTTCATCTGTCGCGGTTATGTAGAACGTACTTGTTTTTCACGAATGACAGAAGCTTTACAAGTACTGTGGCTACGTACGGACCACTCCTCAAAACCACATTTATTTCATCTGCTTTGAAACCAGACACCAAAAAGACTTAACGAAAAATAGCAGAGACTAGACAAGCCCACGAGAGACCCACAGCTGTAAAAGCCATTAATGCCTTCTCTTATAAACAGTTCATATAGAGCTGTATACAGTACAAGCAGGTGGGGGGTTTCTCACAGTGTCATGAAGTACCCACATAAAAAATGCACCGATAACGCAACCGAAACTGCCCTGCAACCAGTGGTGGAAGGTGATGAAGTACAAAGTTTAGGTATCTGTTCTTTACTCAAGTGCATTTTTCAGCAGATACGTTTTTTTAAAATCCATATTCTTTGTGATATACCAATCTTCATCAACCAGACAGACAACAACACAACAAATTAAATAATGAACACAAATACAACCAAAGAATAAACAATACTGACCAAGAAAGAGACAAAATTTAACAATAAAAAAAACAAAACACAAAAACTGGACCAACAAGTAGAGTGTGGATTTGTTTTACTACTACCTAGGTACATTTGAGAGCAGGTATTTGTACTTCCTACTCCACCACGTTTTTAGATCTGGACTGAAAAGTAAAAAGCACTTTTCTTCATAGTTTGAGTCCTGCCAAAATGGCTGAGACTTAATTTTAATTGTTACGTCCCCTTTGCTAGGGGAGAAAGGGAAGTAACAATAAAAAAAACAAGATGTTTAAGGTTTAACGAAAAATTGTGCATTTATTATTTACAGTGTAGGAAAAGGGGGGGGAAGCACAGAAACTTGGGGAGAAAATAAAAAGAATTTAAACAAAATAATCTACTAAAGAGCCTAACTAAGTACAACGCAACAAAATCTAACTAAAGTTGCACTGTGAAAACAAGATGTCTCAACGAAATCAACAGAGCCAACAGCCGGCATTATAACAAAAAACAAAATGAGACAACCAAAAAAAACAATCAAACAAAAGGGCAAGCTGTCTGCAGGGATCCAGCCGCCCTGAGCAGGCGGAAGACTGTCCTTTTATACCCCGCGCTCCCACAGGTGGCATCCACGGATTGGTGGGGGCGGAAGGGTGACCGGCCAATCCTCGACACAATTCGACACCCAGCCTCCATCCAGCGTCCGGTGCTCCCACGCATCCTGGTCCAGGGCTCGTGGGCCGCTCGCATAACACACTAAACAAATCCCAACATAATACATTTAATTTGTGTTAACAAAAACTGTTGAAAATTAAGAAATAATTTGAATTACTGAACATCAGCTAAATTCTTGATTAATATCACCACATTTGACGTTTTAATTGTTCCAAAAATCTCTGCAAAGTATTTACTTTTACTCTTAAAGCATATTTTTAGGTACTTCAATAGTTTTACTTAAGTAGTATTTTCATGTGGTATTTTTACTTTTACTTGAGTTATCTTTTCCTTCTTGTGTCTGTACTTTTACATAAACAAAACTGAGTGCTTCATCCACCACTGCCTGCAACAATTAAAGTATTACCATGTAACTTTCCTAGTAGAGATGTTATAGCTTGGTCTTGTTAATATGTTCCACAGTATGGCATTAAACAAATCTATCGCCACATAAAAGTCTCTATGACAGGTTGAACTACTCATTATACTAACACATGTTCATTAAATGTAAACATTTGCCAGTTTAGCCATTTTTTAGGTTTAAAATTTGACTTTATGATTGTTACCTAGCAACTATGTTTTAGTGGGCCAAAAATCCCCTAATGTACACAGAAATTCTTATTTGACAAATACAATTATAAGCAAACACCATTAGTTTGTTTAATCAGTCTTTTAAATATAAAAAAAAATATTTTTTGTGAAAACAGAATTTTTCAACATATTTTTCAACCTGTCTTCAAAAATTCCTTCTTGATTTCCATTTACCTCAGCAACACTGAAGAATGGCTCAAATACAGAGGACAATTTCCTTACAGAGAGAATAAAAATATAGCCTACAATTACTTCCTCAGAAGAGTCTTGGAGAAGATATTTTACATTCACAGGCTCATGTCAAACTTACTGAAATCCATGTGTATTTCCTTCTATTTTTGCTGCTTTTATCACACCCACCTTTTAACAAGAAACAGGAATTTTCGATCAAATCACTCCCAATGCTAGATTTCAACATGAAGAGATAGGGCTAATCCTGGTATGCCTGAATCCTGATTGCATAATAATACTAACTGTTGAGTGACCATATATTTTCATAAGATGGTCAAATTAGAGACTATGTTGCTAACTTTATACATTTTGGGCAGGAAATATCAAAGAGTAATGGCTAGCCAACTGTCCCACTGTCAACACTCTTTGTGACTCATCCTTGGTGACTGTGTGGTTACTCAAGGAGATTGTTAGGTCCAGCTTTAGTCTCTTTCTGGCATGTTTTCATAAAAATAAACCAGCAACTTAACCTTTTGATAAAATATAGCCAGACCAACTTTATAGATATTTTACAGAAGACACAAATAGTAGTAGTAATCAAGTAGCCCATTTCGGTTTGTTAAAGGTACATTTTCTGGTGGAGAGTCCATCAAATGCTTTTCTTCATGGAGATAGTATTGCTTTGTCTGGAATGCTTATAGTGCAATATAGTATTAGGCCACTCAATCGTCATGGACACCAAACTAGACTAAGTTACAGGTCAGATCTGTGGAGAGGCAACCCCGCTCACAGTCAGAATGCCTGTTTTTGTAGGTATTTTTTTGTTATAAACCCAACCGTAATTGAATAAATGTAAGGTAGAGCTGTTTAATGTCATACTGTGTAACATTCCAGGCAGAACAATGACATATCCATAGAAACAAACAGGTGACAGACCCCCAACCGAAAAGTTATACAGTACACCTTTAAAAATACTACTTCATAGCTTTGAGCTTCCTGTTATATACAGCATTTTGAACAGTATTCCCATTAAAAAGATGCACTAGTTAGTGTTCATTTGTTAATCACTATGACTACAGCCCTAATATTTCATCAGTCTGAAACCTATGCATAGGCCAAGGAACATATGATCAGCTACTAATTGTAACTCTCTTGTTGGCAAGTATAATGAAATAACCACTGAAAACCCTGGTCAATATTGATTAAAAATCGGCTACATAAGCTGATATCCTGGTTGGCCCTTAAATTATAAATGTAATAAGACAATTTTTAGGCTGAATTTGGCCTAGAACATCTCGCAATGTTTGAACTTTTATTCATACAAAGCTGTTCAGTGGCTATTTGAAGGATAAATAACAGTTACACAACGCAATTTGATCTTTTGTGTTTTTGTGAAGTAAATAAGTGCCATTTTCTGTCTCAACACTGGTATCGGTTAGTATCGTTTATCGGCAGATAGTTAAAGTCACAGAATCTATATCGGAACTGAAAAAACTGGGTCAGTGCATCCCTTAATTTGTAAAAGTGTTGTCCACTCCAGTTTAGTACAGTTCAGTCTGGCTGTGCTTCCATTGTAGGGAGTATTATACTTCTGATGTCGTAGGCTAAAATAACAAGGAAGCCCTCAGTACAGCACAGAAATGGAGTATCTCAAACAAAAGGTGAATGAATAAAACTGCCCTAAAAAAACAAACAAACCTGAAAGACAAGAGAAAACAATTTACTTATTATAGAATATTTTGCATTTTATGTTAATTTAAAACAGCCTATCCATTGTTCTTGATCAGATGTATTTAATATAACTATTAATGTAATGTGGCCTAATGTAATGTTCCTTGTTATATTGCCTCAAACCAGTAGATGTCACTAAAGACTGTATGATTCTATCCAGATTTTCCCATTTGATAAAGATCAGCCTATTCAACTCACAGGTGCAAGAAATAAAGTTTAACGATGGCTACTTTTCCCTAAAATGTCCCGTAGCGTAAAGTCAAACAAGGAAATCTGATCTGTGCGTGTCCCTTCCTCAAAGTTAGACTAGACTTTAAGGAGGGACACAAGCTTAAAATGACTTTGATTTATGTCATGACGCAAGCGCTGTAAAACATGAAAGAAACACACACGGTGACAGGTTCATAAAATAAAAATAGAAATACGACATCCAGTAGTAGGTCTTATCTAATGGTATTTTCATGTGAAGGTTATAGCTGTAAAAAGGATGTGACCCGAAAGCTTGGCACACGCAGACGCAGTATCTTATTTAGGCTACTTGATTAAAAAGATCAAATATGTTTTCACCTGTGGCGGTTGGTGGTATTTATTTATTTATTTTTTGGGTGTATTATATATAGGTTATACAGTATTAAAACGAATGCCAGAAACAGACATTTTGGCCTCTACTGGTTGAACTATATCCATCAGGACACAACTTGATCCACCACTCACAACCAGCCCCAACAACCAGCACTAACAACACAAATTGACCCACTACTCATACCCAGCTCCAACAAAGTCAGCAAAACTAAAAGAAGAGGCTATGATCACAACACGAACACACGGCAGAGCAACCGGAGCAGCTCCATCAGCTCTGGGCTCATTTTAGCACTATTTAACTATTAAAACTATTGACCTGTGAGGCTCCACCCGCAGATTTGCCCATAATTAATGAAAACAAGCCTCTTACCTACCCTCTGCCCTGTTGGTTGTCTCCAATATGAAGAGATCAAACTGGTCCAAATCCCAGTCCGCAACACAATGTCCGGGAGCCGAATGCCCCAGCTGGTTGTAAAACTAGTCTGAATCTCTATTCCCACTTAGATGTAAAAGTACCAGCCAGTCCATATTAGCACTAGGGCACCAGAAAGACTTACAACCTGAAACATTTATGCCCAGAAACGAGCGGGCGGAGGTGGATAGAGCAGCAAGCGAGTGCCTCCAACTTGACTTTGACTTGAAGTTGAACTCGCCATAGTTGTGTAGCACACAGCTCTGTTATTAACCATTCATTAGCCTGTAGCAGTAGCATGCTGCCAGTGGAGAACTGGGGCTAGGCGGGATAGAGCGATCACGCATCACAATAGGCCAGAAGTATGTGATAATATTTATAAAGACCAATCACTTGATTTCAGGTCGCCCTCACCCTACGCCCCAAGATGTATGTTACAATTGTAATGTAAAGTAATGGGCAGAAGCAACGTAATGACGTCAAATTTTCTGCAAACTTCAGGCTTTCCCATAGACCTCCATTAAGTCGCTCTGACCGCGCGCACTCAAATGCCAAACACATGACTCAAATAAAGTGATCACATTTATCATGATAAAATATGTCTATGCAGATACACGTTCAATTTTAAACAAAATATCAAACATATAGCCTAATACAAAATAACAACTTTATATAAATATTTATTTATTTATTTTTTTTTTCTAGGTCAAGTTAGGGAGTGCGGGACCCTTGCGCCGCCACTATTGAACAGAAGCCACTGGTTTCCACATAAACCCACCCAGAGTCACTGACTGCAGGCGTGGCAGTTTTTAGCAAGCAGTTTTTTTGAATGCTTAGTTTATTTTAAGTAACCATACGGTTTAAAGTTTCGCTACTGTAAAATATAAACAAATATGCTCGAAGTTGTGTGGATCGGTAAGGCTTGCGGACACAGAAATAACGCGTCTGGACTCCGGACGCAGATCGTTTTCGATACAGTGATACGATGACGAGAACGTAAACGAGAACAGAGCCCTGAGGGCTGCCACCGGGTCGGTGGCTACGAAATTGCATGTCTGGGTTTTCCGCCCAGAGACAGCTGGGGGCGCCAGTGTACCATTCAAACACCCCAAAATGTCATATGGAACCATTAGAGGGTCTTTGAAAGACATTAATTAAGGAAAAAAATGTGAAAGACTGTTCCACCTTGCGATGTCATGTGGTAATACAGGACGTGCTCCCTTGTGTTTCTAAACTCCATACACCTTCAGTAGAATTGTTTGGATGGTTTCAACCCTGAAATTGACAGTCTCTGCTAAACAAAAGGCAATTAAACGATAGCAACTAACTTAAAAATATACTGCTTCATGATATCACAAGGTGGAACGAACCATAGACTGTTTATATATTTTTTATTCAGTCTATGATGAATGGAACAGAGAATTACGAGTTTTAGAGATGTAATCAGACTAATAATGCACTATTAGGCCTATTCAAACTTGTGAATGAAATAAACAAAACTCTTGGTAAGTTTTGGATATAGTAACAGTTATTCTAACGTGAATCAAAGCTTACAAGAATCCATTCTGTGTAATATACGATCTTAAAAATAGAAAATTCTTGCCTTCAACTCGCCAGACTAAAGTAAATCGTATTCCCATTCAAAAGACACCTTTTATGGAGTTTGAGTGTGTACGATGCTCCGTGCTTCCATCTAGTGGCTAAAAAGCGTCCTACATCCCCCTCCAGTGAATAATAATTAGGAGGCTACATCGTGTCCAAAAAGGTGAAAAAACACTTGCTTTTGTCAATAAATTACCCTGCTGTAATTAACTACCGAAAAAACTGCTTTTATGGCCGTATTGTAGTATATATATTGCTACTATTATTACATATTCCGAGGCTCATTGAAATACAAAACATTTTCCCCTCTTTCGCCACACGGGGGTATAGCTCAGTGGTAGAGCATTTGACTGCAGATCAAGAGGTCTCCGGTTCAAATCCGGATGCCCCCTTGTAATTTATGAATTTTCTTATTTCATCTTTTATTCTTCTTGTCACAACATTTAAAACAGTTTGATACGTTTTTGTTTTCAAGGATGATACACCAAAAGAAACTATATTTTCTTCTGTTATCAATAACCTTTGTACCCTTTGATAACTTTCAGTCTATGGTCTTCTGTTATCAATAACCTTTGTACCCTTTGATAACTTTCAGTCTATGGTCCTTTTACAAGCTAGATAGGCTCCACGAAATGTATTTTTTATGTAACAGTATTTTTATGTGAGCCTAAAATGTGTTATCATTTACATATTTTCAATTGCATAACACAGCTCCATTCATATAGTGAATTATAGGCCTATCAACAGGACAACAGTCACATCTCAACATTGTTTTTTATTGAATCTACAAAAACATTTGAACATATAATACAATAAAACATAAATAAAGTCTCCAGCAGCTTATTTGCCATTAAGACATGACTGTAATATACAGTTGCCCAAATAGTTACAAATAAATTAATTTTGGCTTCTTGTACTCAGGCATAGTCTTAAACATAACATTATAACATAACATTTGTTTGAACCATAGATTCATTAAAGGCAGCTTTTGGGGTTTAAAGGTTAAAGGGAGTTACAGTGAGTAATCCTGAAAGCAAAAGTAAATCATCATATCAATTTCCAGATAAAATAAAAAGTAGTCCACATTTCACTTTCTTTTCTAGTCCTATTTGGAGGTCTAATCATGTCCAAAATATAACTTTCAGACTATTAATCTTTTGTTAGAGTGGCTGAACACTTCGATTGTGAGATTTGCCTAATTTACACTTCATTTGCAACTTTTTGTCCTTTAGATAATTTCTTGTTTAGAACTACAGTGAATATTCCTGATTTCGACCTGGTTTAGACCTGTTATATTCCTGGTTTAGACCTGGTTTAGACCTGGTTTAGACCTGTTATATTCCTGGTTTAGACCTGGAATAGAAAAGTCTGAGAGCTGTGGCATTAAGATATATATATGCAGTGTGTTAAAAGTGTATTTCTATAATTTTTGTCAAATAATTTCCAACTATAGAGAGAAAACCAAAACTGATTTAGAGCTTGTGTTGTGTTGTATGAGGTATTCAGACTGGTATTTATCTACACCTCCCTTATTCCTATTAATTAATGAATGACGTGGATAATAATAACTTAAAATACCTTACATAATACATGTTATACAATCATAATGCAATGTGGTTTTCCTTATAAATATTATTGTAAACATATACTGATCAGGCATTAAAGTTTAACTACTAACAGAGATATAACTCACTCTGTATCCTGGCATCTGTTGGTCTAGTTATATTAGGCAACAAGTGAAAAACGTAAATCCTGAAATTAAGATTTTAAAAAAAGGATAAAATTTCAGTGTTTTACATGCACCGAGTACTTAGGCTACCCTAGTTGTCTGATTATAGTCTGATTTCTCTAGACTGATCTCATCCCTGGCTACATGAAAATAGGGGCCTAAAAAACATTATGTAGGAATTTCACATTTGTGCTGAAACTTGATAGCTGATTTTGGTGGGAAGGAAAAGAGGGCTTCTTTTGTCCAAAAGGGTATAATACTCTACATTCCTGTAAAGTACATTAACATGCCCCATTTTGCTGAGTATAGGACAACTTGGCAGGTTGTGTTATTTGTGATCAATGTTTCTTCAGATTACGTAGGTTTTAACATGTAATCTCATCATTTTGCCAGATTATTAAAATATAATCATAACAGCAGAAGTTCTTTGTGTAAATTGCCAACCAAAGTTCGTTAGCTGGTGGTGGTCATCCCAGCCAAAATGGTCTTGCATCTTGGGCCAATCCCTGTAGTCATCTGTCCATTGTTTTAACAGGATTTTGCTGTAACCTTGTGAATCTTCTTGGCACAGGAGGTTGGCTCAGTTTGAAGAAAAGTTGTTTACTGGAATAGTTTCAGTTTGCCAGAACCTTGGACCTCATCCAGTCCAGACTGGCAGGTAAACTACAGAGACAGAAAGAGGAAACAAGACTATTAAAAACAATGCATGAAACTTCAGTAAGTGAGTATGTACTTTTAATATGGGTTACATTCTATTGATACTTTGTAGCTGATGTTATCAACATTTCCTGGGGGTGTGATGCTAACAATCTCAATCTGGGGCTTGTTAGACTTTAATTTGAGCTTTATTTTTACAGTCTGACCATTCAGAGCTGGTTTATTTGGAACTACAACAGGTGAGATGATTTTTGCTGTTTAACAAGTTTCATACATTAAAATTACAGTCACAAGATAGCCAGCATGAGCCAACAGTTTTTCAGTTAGTCAAATCAAACTATTAAATAGGACCATGAACGCTTGCATTGACCACAGGCTCCTGAAAATGTGCTTTTTAAATCCATTTTGTATTTTTTCTTGTTTTTAGTGTTTCCTAATGTGTGCATTGTATCACCATGGCAACTGTTGAACATTCTGCCAATAGAAATGCATTGTAGAACACCCCCAACTTGATGTCAGCTGATTAGCATCTGGGTATTTAACAAACTTGAATTTAAAGTAATGAGACTACACACATTTCAGAAAACAATGTGCACTGGTTGGTTAATCTATTCCACATTACACAGTGACGCAACAGTGACCTCAGTAGTAAATATAGTTCCTGTGTATAGTGTGAATGGTCCTCACCCCTCCCCCGTCAGGGCGCAGCAGGCCTGGACGTGCCAAGAGTGAGTGGTGATGGTGTCTAATGTTAAACATTGAGATATCTCCGCCGCTGTCATCGAATCCTTTACGTCCTGTTTGTTTGCCAGAACCAGAACTGCAGCATTTTGGAGGTCCTGAAATAAGACAACAGAAAATACTTATTTATAATGCTTACTATAAAGATACAATGTGCAACTTTCTGGAGGCAGCACATGCACGATGAAGTGGAAAGTTAAAATCATACTTTGGGACATTCTCCATAGAGATAGACAAGTTTTATGACATATTGTGGAAAATTATAGCCAAAAGAACAGCAATAATATATGTTGTATGTTCAAGAGTTCAGTATACTATGTACACTTATTTACCAGGCCAACGCCTCCACAGACAGTGACAAGTATCAATAACAAAGAAATAAGGCAGAACACATGTTGTGCCTTTACTCTGAGTCATTCAACATGCCGTGTTTGGGCAGGTACTGTAAAAACAACAATCACTGCAAACAGTTTCACTTGAGCCAAAAGGCACTGCTTTGTTCTAAAGGGCTTGTATATTGTGTTATAACACTGTCTGGGTATTCCACCTATTAAAGATTATGTTTTTGGAATTTAAATTAGTTGTTGAACCAATAGTAATAATTATTTCTACCACACAAGGTCCTTTATTATTAGTCTGTCTACATCTCCAAAGCTCAAAATGTTCTGATCCTCTTTGTGATTTTCTGAAGCGGTAGGTTTCACGTTAAGGTAAGTTCTACTTTTAGTTCAGTAGAGATCGACAGTTTCAGGGATAAAGATGTATGGAGTTTAAAAACCCAGCAGAGCACTTCCTGTATTACCACATGACATCACAAGGTGGAACAGAGTGTTTTCCATTTGAGATAAGAACTCACTCCTGGTATATTTGTGATGAGGAAACAACATTATTACATGGATCAGAAAATAGCGTAATATGGGCCATTTAAAAACAACATTAATGCAACTATAAGAACATTATACAAAATATTGTATACTGTATTTTTTTAGTTATTATGAATCCAAAATTACTAACATAATTTTGCAAATTAAAACTGTTAAATTTTCTTGTAATTATATTTATGCCAAAATAAATCTACAGAAACATTCAAGGATGCAATATACCACAGAGAACATTTTATATTCAAATATTCTTCAGTTCCACCTTTCATGGAGCATTGTCTACATAGAGCTGTTCACATAAAGGAATGGTCATCTATTTTACATTAGTGCATTAAGGATTTCTCTGTTGTTAGGTCATGGCATCAGAGATTGTGAATAATCATAAAATCTTCATACCTCGTGTGCAAGCATCCGGTGGAGCTCGTCTTTAGTGACGGTGAGTCTCTCCCGGTCTGTGCTGTCCACCACCAGAATGACAATCTGAAATAAAGCAAATACATAATGAATTAATATGTACACAATGTTTACTGCAATTGCAAAGAATCTGTGGGAGGTAATTAACAATGAACAGTCTAGTTTCACTCTTCCACTTTTGAATAGATATAGAAAATATTATACAAAAAATAGTACATCTACGAGTTTCAGAATGATGAAAAACCAGGGGACTGTTGCCGATTAAAGAATCTATATAACACAAAATTGACTCTTGTGAACTTTACATCATGTTATAATGCTGTTACGTCCTCAGAATCATACCTGGAGTTATGTTTTGTTTCATTCACACATGTTTGAGTAACGTTTTTTTTTTTTTAATTATTATTATTTTTTAAAGCTCAAAATGCTCTGCTCCACCTTTTGATGTCATGAAGTGGTAGATTTCAAGTTAATAGTTCCTTTTATCTTTAGTTCAGTAGAGATTGGCAATTCCAGGGCTGAAAGAAGGGTTTGAGAGAAAACTTCATCTTAAATATGCAGGGTCTTTGTGTTAAACAAGTCCAGGTATGTTTTTGACGAGGAAACAACATTATAACATTGATCAGAAGATATCGTAATAATATATAGGCCCTTTAACAATTTAAAACAAAAACCTTCTGAAAAATGTTGCAAATGACAGGAAGCTGAAACCCAGGAATAATATAGGTAAATGGATGGATATTTCAAGATGGAACACCAGAAATAAACTCTGTAAAATATAGTAATTTAATATATGGAGATGTACCATAGCAGGATTCATACATTTATATTAGCTCACCCTGACTTAACCAAACTTAAACAACATGTAAGAGGTTTATCATCTGTACTGCGTTATCAGCGGCTACTAAAAACAACAAGAAGTCCATAAGGTGTAATTATGGACCTGTTTATTACATGCACAGTTACATAAGAGTCCTCAGAAGATAACATAGGTAAAATGGGTTAGTATGTTCTGGCCTCAAAAACATGATTTGGGTGTAATTTAAAGCTTCAGATTACATTAGTTTATCTTTATACATTATAATCCAGTGTTCCTGGGTTATATCACTTGCTTGTCTCCATGGAGATGTTCTTGGTTTTCCTAGAATGCTCCAGAGTATGGCATATACTTGGTGACAAAGAGAATGCTTGATTTGATTTTATTTCTTTAGCAATGAAAAAGCCTGTAATTCAAGATGGGTGAGTTTAATGCTACACTGTGCAATATTCTAAGAAAAGCCATAACATCTCCATAGAGACAATACAGTAGCAGATACTCCAACAGAAAAGGTACATAATGAGCTTTAAACCTAGGAAAAAAATATTAAAAGAAAAATGCCATCAAAAGACAATAAAGACTAATTACCACTTATATAACTACAAATGTATCTGCATGGATAAAACTAAATCCATAAATCTCCTTTATTAATTCTTTGCATCTAATGTCATCAATATTTCCTGGGGTGTGGTGCTAACTGTAGGCATGCTCTGTCTGAGGCTTTGTTAGACTTTAATCTGGGCTTTTTTTCTACAGAATTTGACCATAAAAAACTACAACGGGTGAGACAGTTTTTACTATTAAACAAGTCCCTCTCAAATAACATTATAGTCATGAAGCTAGCTACTATTAGGCAACAGTTTTTCAATTACACTCCCCTTTTTGTTGAAAATCAAACTCCTAAACAGGACCATAAACACTCGTATTGATCATACCCCCATGAAAATGAGTTGTTTAAATCCATTTTGTATTTGTCCTTGAGTGTTTCAGATTATTTTTGACAGTCTTTGCTAATCTGTGCATTGTGTCACCATGGCAACTGATGGACATTCCACCATACACATACATGTCACTGCAAAGTATTGATTGTTTCCATAACAGCATCCTTTGTAACAGCTCTAGCCCACTAGCCTAGGGACTATCTGTTTAAGGTTCCTCTTTTTTATAATCTTATTTAATTGAATTACCTCTGTGTGGCAGTAGTATGAATACCAGCTCGCTCGCAGACTTTCTTGTCCTCCGATGTCCCAAACCAAAAAGTGCGTATTTCGAACAGTGATTTCCTCAACGTTGCTTCCTATTGTTGGAGACGTGTGTACTGCCTCCTTTGTCAGGCTGTATAACAGAACATGGAAGTATGAGTAGAAGTAGTAGTGGTGATAGTAGTAGTGGTGGTAGCAGTAGTAGTAGTATTATAAATACAATGAATATTTTTACTTTAGGACCTATAGCAATAGTAATAATAGTAATATAAGTACTTGTTTGCTACTACCACGTTATCCATTACTTTAAATTTTACTAGTAAATTTAATTTCTACACATTTTTACAGTAGTAGTAGTAGTAATAATAGTAGTACGTTCTCTTTCTATTGTTCTAGCTTTAGTTTACGTAGTAGCTGTTGAAGTATCTAGAAGTAGTTGTTGTAGCAATAGTACATTTTATTTAATTTACATTTTCACACAGCTAGATCTAATTGATGTAGAAGTAGTTGACATTGTTTAGTCCTAGTAATAGTAGTAGTAGTTGTAGTAGTAGCTATATTACTATTAACTTGTACTAAAGATGAGTATTTTGAGCCATGTGTTACAATATTATTTATATTTGGTGTAATTATTATATTAAACTCACTGTAAAAGGAAAAAAAATAAGGTAATTCTTTGTGACTTACAACTGGTAGAGGATTGTAGTTTTTCCTGCATTGTCCAAACCCACAATGATGACTTTGTGCTCTGTTATTTGAGAAGGAACAAGGAAATTTTTACTTTAAACTCACGCTTTCACTCTTGTAATACAAACATAACCAAGAACACAGCATGTTCAGGTATTAGTGATGGACAGAGATTAGAGACAGGGCAGCTGTGATGTAATGTCCAATGTTGTTATCATGATTATGTAAATACAGAAGTTTGAAAAGGTCATGGCATAGACTTGCTGTATACAGGTTAATATGTAATCCTCACACATAACTAAATAAACCAAACTAAGATTTTAAATGTGACCACTCATTTGGAAATGACTATATACCGCCCTGTAAATTGGGTAAAAAGAAAATGTGTAGGCTAAGTTTTGGAAAAATCAGCCTATTATTATGTATTGCTTCTTGTGTTTGTTTACATTATAATTTCTCCAAAATCATACTAAGTTGTCCAGCGTTAAATTATGTAAGACAAGCCTATCTATCTTAAATCTATGGCCTATTGCATTGATATTACCCTGCTATAATACTGCAGGCAGTGTTGGGAAGTAACTGAATACATATACTGAGAATACACAATCTGAATACAAATTTTGAGTAACTTACATTGCAGTCACACTTTTGTTTGATGATATTCACAATACACACTTCACTTTTCTTAAATCAAAGGAATAAATGACAGTACCCCAATTTAGGCTTCAAACTGCACATAATCAGTGAGAAAAATAGAAAAACTGCTCTTCCTACTCCAGTTAGGGATAGCAGGAAATAAAATATAAAGAAATAAATAAAGCTTAAAGCTGTTTTACTCTATAATTTAAATGCAACTCGATGTAAAAGAGTTCTGAGTACTCAGAATACAGAATACATTTTCATGCAGGTGTTTAGTATTCTGTAAATAAATTCATTTTCAACGTATTCTTCACATCACTGTAGATAGATTATAGATGAACAAAACCCTGATATCATTTAATTAACATCGTCAGCAAAATGATGAGGTAAGTCTCACCTTTGTCCCCGAACACTGTCATCATCTTCGTCAATAGAAAGCCCATGTTCACTGTATTGATTGATTGTTCAATAATATACCGTAGTCTCCGTGTTATTATAGAGCGGTGATGTCGTGCTCTGTAACCGCCTGAAGACGCTCTTATCTCGGCTGTACCTGAGAGATTTGTCCTGGTACGTCCGCGGTGCCGGTTCACTTAGTTCTGAGTTTGTGGGAGGGACGCACTTCTAAGAAACACTCAGGCGTGACTCACGCACGGAGTAGAGGTGCGTTCGGGCGTCGTGGGAAATTTGGCGATTCAAAACAATAACAAGTGCAGTAAATCTTAGTAAGCAAGATAAAACAGCAAGGTTGACAGAAAGAGGCGACTTTTGATTGATGTCACCTAAAACATAAGAATAAGCTGCTACCCTTACATTTTAAAAGTTGTTTGGTATGGAAAAAAAACAAACAAAAACACGCATTATATTCAGTGACTGCCTAAAAATATTGATTATGCTTGATATGTTATAGGCCCAGTTATTTGACTAACCTGGAAAGCAGATATTGAATATAGCGCTACTAGACCTAAACAGACAAATATTAATATATACTTTGAGTAATATTTTGTCTAAATAAGAAGGCCTATGCATATAGAATTTGTCTGAATTTACAAGGCTGGTACTAATATCTAAACTAGTTAGCTAATAACAGCTTATAATAAACAACATAATATACTGAAATAACCTAGTGAATATGAACGATCTTAAAGTGGATACGTTCAATTGCAATATAGGCAATACCATACACAGGCTAATAAAAGCAATAAAACATTTAGTCTGTTCAGATTACAGCATTTTTCTAGTATTAACCCTAAAGTTATCATATCTCTCCTTCTTTATACTTCCTACATCAGCTGGGGGGTGCAGTGTAGGCAGAGTGACAGTGACAGCCAACCCTGAACGCATCACAGCTCACGCTCGTTTCGTTACGTCACGTCGAAGAGGGCACACGAGCGCTCACTTGACGCAACAGGAAACGCACTCACGCAATGCCCTTGTATGGAAACATAGGAACGCGCTGTTTTCCTCTCGGTGTTCGGAATTAGAGGAAGAGCAGGAACAAAAGCAAAACTCCATTACGCAGAAACTCCCTTGAATCCCCTGCGGTCTTTCCCAGTTGTTATCCTGTAATTACCCATGTTAGCTAAAACTACATGTACGTTATTCCTGTTGACTTTAGGATACACAACGTTAAACAGCAGAATTTAGGACTATTTTATGTAACAATAATATACATTTTAAAATATGTTTAGCTTATCTGTAGTTCACACATTGGCTATACATGCACACCAAAAGTGTGATTGTAGCCTGATTTCTTACCAGATTATTGAAATGTCTTAGGCCTGTATAGTTACAGCTGATGTGTGTGATCTGATTTTTGTTAAAAACGTGCAAAAAAGGCAAACTAATGTGACAAAGACAAAAAAAAAAAATCTTAAAGATGTACTCTGATGGATACGATACGCCACCTGCTTGTTTCCATGGAGGTGTCACTGTTTTGCCTTGATTATTCCACAGTATGGAAATAAACTTGGTAATCACAATGGAGACAGTCAGATCTATGGAGATGCAAGCCTGTACATAGTAAGAATTTGAGTTTTTTGAGGGATTTTTGAGCTATAAGACACATGTATTTGAACAATTGCAAGGGAGATCCGTTTAATGCCCTACTGTGGAACATTCCAGGCAAAGAAATTACATCTCGATAGAGACAAGCAAAAAGCAGACCCTCCACCTTCGAAGTTACATAGGGCATGAGTTTAAAGATTGAAAGAGTTCTTTAAAATGTACTGATACTTTTAGGCTATATTTCTAAAAAGTCCACAACTTAACTGACATCTATCAGAAACAAAAGTACAAGTCCAACATGCAGAAATTCCCCTGAGTTCCCAGAGTGGATCTAATAAAATAACATTCCTATCATGCAATTACCCATAGGCTATTAAAACAAAAAGTGTGATCGTTATTTACTATTTACTGATTTCTGGAGTGATTCAATATGATTATTGAAATGTTATCAAAACCGTTACATTTGAGGTAAGTAGTCTGATGTATTTTGAAAACATGCAAAAAAGGGCAATGTGACAAAGACAAAAATGTAAGAGAAAATGCATGTTAAAGATCGAAAGAGTTTAAAAAAATATTCTTGGTACTTATGTATTTCTAAAACGTCTACTTTAATTATACACTAAAATTCAGATATAGGCTATTTTTGGGTTATCTGATCATGCTAGTTGTCTGATTTTGACTAGTCATGCTATATTTAACTTCTTTTAGACTAAATTCAGTTATATTTTACTTAAAGGTGGACTGCACAACTTTTCTGGTGTAGGGTCCATCACCTGCTTGTCTTGAACTATTATTGCCAAACAGGCCTGTGACACTTTACCAGTAAAGGTTACACAGTGCACCTTTAACTACCTTGTTAATTTCACCCATGACTACGCAGCAAATTCGAGTGTTAATTCAACTTGTATATTGTTAATTTGAACACTTTTACCATGTCATATGGGGTCCACAATAAAATGAGTTAAAACTACACTTTACAAAGTGTAGAAGGCTAAACACTAGTAAAGTGATGTAACCACACTCCTCATAGTTGAATTTGACACTGATTAAGATTAGATTTTTTTTACACTAGTGTATACTGAAAGTAGTTTTTTTTTAGTATTAGTATTTTTATGAATTAAATTAACTGCAGAGTGTCCTAGAAAGGTAAAATAATCTGACCCGGGCATGTGAGAGCTCAGGTGGTTGGACTTGAGGCTTGTTGAGTTCTGTTAGCTGTTAGCTTAGCTTCGGACGGTCAAATGTGTCTTCCCTCTCGGAGTACAGACGGAGAATGGCAGAAAATTACAATTTTGGGGTTTATATATGCAACCACTGGCAACCGTGGAATGCCTGTGCGTTGCCATAAGAGATATAAGCTTGTTTTGATTTAACTTTACATTTCATTTGAGGAGAGAGACGCTGTAAAACCATGTAAAAAACATGTAAAATCCGGACAACAGGTGACAACAATGAAATAAACGTTGGAGACATTTACCACCAACATGTTTGTATTTATCACTTGAAATAGCTCATAAATGTCCTAAATCATCGTGTTACATACACTGAGTGTAGCGCAGGCCTGTCACTAGCATTACAATGACATAATGTATTATGACGTAATACATTTACGTGAGTTACTATTTACAGATATTGTCCTTTCTTCCCACTGTGAAAATACAAGACATGAGTACTATTTCATGTTTCATCCTCGCAATTGCATTAACTTTAAATGACAAATCACATATTTCGTCCAGTTACTTTTAACTTAAGTTACTTTAGAGTAATTTCTGTGAATACTTTTACTCTTAGCTACTTAACACATTTTTTGGACTTGTACTTTTTACTTAGACTTGAGAAATATTTTTTTAAGTAACGTTACTCTTAATTTAGTACAATTTGTGGCTAATTTACCCAATTTTCATGGACATCAGTGACGGCAACATTCACTGTCACAGCCAAGTTCGCTTACTACTACTAGCATTAGACCGACCCTCTTGAATATATTTAGTATTTTTATGAATGAAATTAACTTCAGAGTGTCCTAAAAAGGTAAAGTAATCTGACCTGGGGCATGTGAGAGCTGAGGTGGTTGGACTTGAGGCTTGTTGAGTTCAGTTCTACTGAAAAACAAACGCTAGAGCTATTAGCTTTGCGCTGCGGTTAAGGCTGACCTCTTTGCGCTATTAGCTCTTAGCTTAGCTTAGCTTCGGACGGTGAAATTTGGCTTCTCTCGTAGCTCTCCCGCTGGAAACGCTACAAAAGTTCAACACTGATGTAGTGTAATATTCAAAATAGACACTTTCTAAGTGTTTCACGTTAACACTGTGAATCAACAACTACTCATTTTCTGTCAACACTGTGACTTATTAACTAGCTATTTTACTCTACAGCACTGCCATAGATGAAATAACTCTTTACTATGTTGAAATACATCTGTATTTTCTTCACTTTACTCACAACAACACCAACATTGTGAGTAACACTTTTGAATTTGCCGTGTATACACGTTCACTTTGTTGTTTTGTAATCCTTTTTGTTCTCTTGCAATGTAAGCACAAAAGATCTAGCCTGCCATTTGGTTCAAAAGTTACCACATTACTGCAAGTGGAACACAATGTTATCACAAATGTGGAAATATTCAAATAGAGATCTATTTGTGGTTACTGGTTTTGTCACGTTAACTTCAGATAAATCATGTGTTTGTCACACTTCCTCTTTGACTCTTGCAGCTTCAGGAGGTTTCACATTACGCCTCCATGGCAACACAACACTTACCACATCCTGCTGTTATAATTTATACAAAGTAGTGTCACAAATGGGCTTCTTTATACTTGACTGTCTCCTCTTGGGTCACCTTGCCCAGTAATCTTCTTTTTAAACGTAATTGATTTGACATTGTTTTATGGTCCTGACATTTCTGTTTGTGCAAGAATTTCCCAGACAAAACATGCAATACCAGATTGTAGCCCATAAGAAAACAAATGACTGAACTGTGTGTTTTTTAGGCTATGCTCTGCCTCCTACTGAACTATCAAAGCAATAATAATCCTAAAATGTCTGTTTTGAGGAATAGGGGGTGTGACATTATTGGCATCAACGACTTATTATTGGCATTATTAAAGCTGTCTGATTTCTGTTGAAAACATGCAAAGAGGGCAAACTAATAAAAAGAAAAAAAATGTTAAAGGTGCATTCTGTAACTTTTCTGGTGGAGGATCCGCCACCTGCTTGTGGGGATATTACTGCTTTCCCTTGATTATTCCAGAGTATGGAAAAAAACAACAACTTGGTGATCACAATAGAGGCAGGTTAATAGTCAGAGCTATGGGGAAGCAAGCATGCACATGGTAAGAATTCATGTTTGAGGTATTTTTAAGATATACAACACCTGTAATTGAACAAATGTAATGCAAGGGAATTAAACTAATCAATCAAATCAAGAGTAACCATTTATCGACACCCCAAAAAGCAAACTAGTGGTGGCTCTTTATTTTGCATTTGATCTGTGATTCAAAATCCACTTACCTAATTTCATTCATACGTAGATTTGGTCTGTTATCTAAAGAACCAAATGCATCAAGTTTGGAGAATTCTTTAAAGGTGCTCTATGTAACTTTTCTGAAGTATTGTTTTCTTGCTTTGTCCAGAATATTCCATAGCATGGCATTAAACGTACAGTAGCCCTCTGTAACTCACGTTCATTTAATTACAGGTGTTTTTATGTAAAACAAAAAATACAACTGCACATAAAGTGGGCTGGAGGCATCCCCTGCTTTGTCTCCACATAAGCAAGTGGAAACAAGCAAGTGGGGACCTCTCATCAAAAAATAGTGCACCTTTAAAAAGACAATATAACATCCCAGTTGAACACCACACAATCAACACTTTTTTGATTAACTTTTTAATTAAAATACGAATTTATCCACAGATTAAAAATGAAAGGCAGAAAAAGCAAAATGTAGCTACAATCAGGCACCAATGATACATGTTTATTCATATTTTTAACAATTGCGATAACGCAACAATGACATTATTTACGTATCATAATTTTATATTTATGTATTCAACTAAAGACAGGGCAGGTCACCACGGCAACCTGCCAACAACATTCAAAAGATTCAAACATTTTAGGACAACCATGTGAAGTTTATCCTACCCTCCCAGAACCTCACAAAAACTGAAGCGTTAAAAAATGGCAAATGTCCACATAAATTATCCAGCAGAAATCAGAATAAAAGAGTTTCAATATCGGACAAGCTAGAAGCCGTTTGAGAGTAACTGGCGCACACATGTATTTTAGATATAACTTTAAGCCCTGGTGACGAAACTCAAAGCAAGAGAGAGATGGGCTACGACTGCAGACACAGAAGAAGAAGAAGAAGAAGAAGAAGAAGAATGGTATGAAGACGAAGGTTAGGTTAAGACAACCCACCGGCACACTGGTGGACATGGCTTGGCGAGACAGTCCGGCACTTGTGAGAATTAGTTGGATTTAAGTGAATTTCAGTGACACAGAGTTCATTCACACAACAGCAGTGCACCATGTTAAGAGTCACCAGCCTCATAGCATTACTACCTATGTTTTTAATGTCTCAGGGTGTACTTTAAAGGTGCATTGTGTAGCTTTTCTGGTGGAGGGTCCGTCAAATGCTTTTCTAAATGGAAATGTTATTGCTTTGTCTAGAATCTTTCACAGTATGGTATTAAACCTTTCTATCTTCATGGAGATCAAACCAGACCAAGTTACAGGTCAGATCTGTCCAAATGCCTATTTTGTAGGTATTTTTGAGCTATAAAACCACCTCTAATTGAATAAATGTAAGGTAGAGCTGTTTAATGTCATACTGTGGAACATTTCAGGCAGAGCAATGACATATCCATAGAAACAAGGAGGTGATGGACTCCCAACCAAAAAGCTATAGTGCACCTTTGAGCTTGTGGCACATGTTTTTCCAGTGTGGTTTTTAAACTACAAATGGCAAATAACTAACCTAACAGTAATTTTTTTGTCAAATTGAGTTTTCTCATTGTACTTTCCTGACCCTGCTGTACTAGTGTTATCATGATACTAAAATTTCAAACTCGATTTTAACACTAAGGAATAGACTTGATACTCATTACCGATTCTGATACAACCATGATAATAAAAACACTTTCTTTATACAACAGAATGTGATCTTTAACATTAAGTCATAGTATTTTCTTTTATTTTACCATGTGGTCTTATATCTGTGTAATACTTTAGTGGTCCAGGTAGGTTAGATAGTGATCTATGGGCGTATACTAGTCTATGTGCTCTTATACTTGTTGATACAGGTTAATTTCTGTCCTGTGAATGTAACTTTTTTAGTATCAACGCCTGCTCAAATAAGTCCAGGTATCTAGTTTCAACACTAGTTTTAGCATCAATTAGTATCTGATTTTGACAACCCTAGCTGCATCTATAGGTATCATTGGCTCTCTCCAAAAATGAATAAATAAATAAAACAAAACACACAAACCGGCTCAGTCATCATATTGACATTAGCAGTTAGCATGTTGCCTGAAAACCCAGCAAAATGACATAGGCGTTGTGCTATGAGGCTAATGAAATGAACAGATAGTGAATACTTCAGGCTCACTTCACAAGGATCAAATGGTACAGCGGCATCAGGGAAGAAGTAAACATCTTTGGAGAGCTGTGTATTTGAGACGCTATAGTTACCTCTGATCAAACACATCCTCATAGGCTTAAAGATTCATTCTGTAACTTTTCTGGTGTATGGGCTTATCTTAATGGAGATCTGTTACCTGGTACTGTTTACCCAAGCCCTTCACAAAATCTGTAATGTAATGTAATGATTTCTACTACACCTTGCTTGGAATGTCCCACAGTATGGCGTTAAACAAATCTCCAGTGAGACAAGAGCAACCAGGCCAAAGTTACAGGTCAGATCTGTGGAGAGGCGAACCCACTCAGAGTTTGAATGGATTTATTTTTCTACACAAAAAGGCCGGAGTTGAATAAATACTAGATAGATATGTTTAACGCCATACTGTGGAACATTCCGGGTAAAACAATAACATTGTCACTGAGTCAAGCAAATGGCAGACCACATCCTAGAAAAGTTACGCAGTGCATCTTTAATGCCTAGATAGAGAATAAGAATGACTGACCAGGTTTAGAGACTATTTTTGTGATAATACAGCAACACCACTCGTTAAGGTCTGGGTGATTAAAAAAGGTGATTATTAACTTAACAGAAACCTTTGAACAATTCCAAATCCAAAAGTTACACACGTGAAGATGGCAGTTAGACCCTGTTTTTGGAGACTGCAGAGGACAGACGGACAACAGTTAAAGAGATGTACAGATCACAATCAGAATTTTTCACAATCGTAATAAATACTGTCCCCGTGCTGTCATAGAAACTGGTGATAACTTCATGCAACACCAGAAAACAAAACAAAACAAAAAAAACTAAAATAAAAAACAAAACAAAACAAAAATTAAAAACAGACCTGTATTTGTAATAGTAGGTACTGGTAAATGAATTTCAAGAAAAATGAAATTGATGGCGTCTGGCAGTTGATGTGTTTCTTTACATTGTTACTATAGCAACAGGGCTTCACAATATCTGAGAATGTACCACTGAAAGTACCAGATTGTGATTGTAAAACTAGAGCTACTGCAATAACAATATGGTGGAGAATAAGTTCCGTCGTTTGGCCTGTTAAAACGACTCAGAAGTGAATTCAAACTTTTATGCATGAAAAAAAGTCTAGACCTGGTTTAAGTCTGTATATAGTCCTGGTTTACACCTGGTTCAAACTTGTACTAGCCATGATTTGGTTCTTTATTGTCCTGGTTCAGACTTAGTTGAGTTCAAAGTTATTGGGATAGGCTGAAGTATTATTTATATGGAGACAAGAAAGTAGACATTAATATCTGACCTGAATACACAGTGGCAGAGTGGTTAACGCTAAAAATATGTATATGTGTGTATATTTTATGTAGAGATAGATAATTATTATAAATTGTATAATACATAGAATTCTTGTCTCCTGCGCCCCCTAATGGCAAAAAGTTCAAGTGTCTTATATGATGATAGTACGACAAACCATAGTGTCATCTTATCCATCCTTACCATGTTGTTATTGCAGTACTCAGGTAAGTTACGTCCTGTATTTGAATATTGTGCAGCCCTGATTTGGATGTAAACAGATTAGTTTGTTAGCCTGACTGGCATGGCCCCACACCTGCACTCACACAGTCCTTTATGTGTTACTATAATACTATACCCTCGTCTCCTCTGTCCAGTTCATGTAACTTTCACTTGTACACTGCAATACAAGGGTTGAAATGACTTGAATTCATAATAATAAATTTAATTAGTAGTTTTTACAAGTTTGGATAAGACCTCGGTGATTGGACTTGCTGGTAACAAAAAATATCAAAATAACTACACATTAATTGGCCTTAAAGCATGAAGAAAGTATTTAATTTGGAAATGTTTACCTCATATCTGAGAATACAGTTGGTCAAGTTTATGAAATTTAAAATTAAAATCTGGCATACAGTTCCTTTTAGAATAATGCAGGTTTAGTAACTACTTAAAGGTGCACTGTGTAACTTTTCTGGCGGAGGGTCCGTCAAAAGCTTTTCTCCGTAGAGATATTATTGCTTCGTCTGGAACGTTTCACAGTATGGTATTAAACCTTTCTATCTTCATGGAGACCAAACCCGACCAAGTTACAGGTCAGATCTATGGAGAGGCAACCCCGCTCACAGTCAGAATCCTTGTTTTTCCAGGTATTTTTGAGCTATAAAATCATCTGTCATTGAATAAATGTAAGGGAGAGCTGTTTAATGTCATACTGTGGAACATTCTAAGCAGAGCATTGACGTCTCCATAGAAACAAGCAGGTGATGGGCCCCCAACCAAAAAGTTACAAGTTAATAAAAGCTGGAACAAAGACTTAGTTTATTAAATGGACCCTCCACCAGAAAAGTTACACAATGCACCTCTAAGACTAATTAAGGTGTAGCTATTATAAAGTAAAACTACTAATATCAAACTCACAAATTCAAGTCATTTAAACTGATGTAAATTTGCCCTCAGCGGATGTACACATCGCGCCCCCAGTCTTGGTCTTGGTTCTTGTTGCGCCCTGTGTTGGTCTCCTCTTGGCAGTAGCGCTCTCTCAGTTTGGGGCGTCCAGGGTGGTGGTGAGGAGGGGGCGGGGCTGGGTGGTTCAGATTCTCCTGATCCGGCTCTGCTCCCTCGTCTTCCCACGATGCTTGGCGGGCATGATGCTGGGAAAGGTGCAGGCGGCTCCCCCCTCCCCCTCCACCTCCTCCCCCACCCCCACCTCTGTAAGGTTCAGGTTCTTCATAGGGATCTGTCTCGATGTCCATGCAGGAATCGCCCGCTTCAGTATAGGCGGAATCTCGACTTCCTTGCGTCTCCGAATCGAATGTATCTTGCCGGGATAGACCGCGACTACTGCCCCCCCTGAGCTGCCCCCGGGACGAGCGGAGGTAGGTCTGCTGTTGTGAGGGGGGGTGGTGGGGTTTGTCGCTCTGGTACTCCCCCCCACCTCCAGATTCGGACAGGGGACCTTCGTGCTTCGTCTCCCCGTGAACCAGGTACTGTCCCTGGGCAAGTCACAGCCGTGCGAAACACCATGCAGAAACACAAGTAAATGCACACCAGGGGTTAGTTTGGGTTAGGGTTATTGGGCATTCAAAACATTTAAAAACATTTTAAAGTTTCAGTTTTTCGCATGCAACCACATTTTTTGTTGTTATTTTAGTAGTCGACTAAAGAAATTCTTAGTCGGCTCTTTGTATCTGACCCAAACTCCACTTATAAGATTACACCTGCACAGTAGTTCATGCAAAAAACTATTATTTATACAGTTAAGTTGTAAGAAACAATGTGTTTATATAAAGACAGATTCACTCACAAATCCTGCAAATGCATTCACAATAATCCTCATAATTTAAATAATCAACTAAATGACAAAATTACTACAGCCTAGTAGTAGCCTAGTTGCCTAATAATAATCATAGAAATGTTATTGCATTTTGTATGTGTGTTACAAATGAGTGCAACATCACTGTTACCTGCTGCGTTTCTTTAATTTATGGACCACATATTGGCTAGTCTAAGTGGTAAATGGTTTGCTAATTAGTGACACAAATTAAGAGTAGTCACTGATGTGTGCGTTGCAAGAGGTAGAGTAGAAATTGAAAATAAATTAAATATATATTGTGGGTAAAACATTTATAAAATATACATTTGTATTTACAAAATAGGGAAATAGTTTAAGTAAATTTTGTGATTGTCCCTTTGCTTTTTACTGTTTTAAATATGTCTATATTTGAAACCTGAGGGAATATGTACATTTATCTATATACTTCACACATTTCACATGCATTTGGGTTACTGCAAATCAACACACTTCAATCATTCAATCATTTAAATACTCTCCACCCAATATGGCATAACAGTACAACAGTGCCACCTGCTGGAGACTTGTCTAACTGCCCCAAATCGAAGCATTGTCTACTGATGCTCTGAATAGACTGCATTTTTAGTTATATTAGTTAAGAATTTCAGTCATCTAACAATTTGTATTTTTAAATATAAATATTAACTCTAGTTGGGTCTTTTTACAGGCAAAATAAGAGCATTTGTTGGGAGTCATCAAATTTGGCTATGCACAAATACAAAACACGTAATCTTGTTTTAATGTGTATTAGAAATGAATTAAAGCTGCACGGCGCAACCTACCTGTCTCTATGGAGATGTTAATGCTTTGCCTGGAATGTTCCAAGGTATGACATTAAACATACATCTAGCATTTATTTATTATGGGTGTCTCTATTGCTCAAAAATACAATAATTCTTTCTGTGAATACTGGCGACTTTCCACAAATCTGAATTGTAATGTAGCTTAGTGCTGTAACCTGCTTGTTTCCTTTGTGATGGATCTAATCTATACTGTGGAATATTCTAGGCAAAGCAATAACATTTCCATGTAGACAAGCAGGTGGCGGACCCTCCACTACAAAAGTTATGCAGTGCACCTTTAATTAAACAGCCAATACCCCTATATGTTATTTTGCATGTTAGTAGTAGCAACTTTCACCAAATTAATAATTTCTGTGTTATAGACGGACTTGACTTGCTCTTTTCTGGTGCAGTACCACGGCAACAAAAAAGAGAATTGTGAACCGAATGAACCAATGAGGAAGGCCGTAGAGCCGAGCAGAGGGCAGGAGGGGGCACCAGATTTCGTTTTGCACTTAATTACGTCCAAATGAAAGTTACAGGCTTGGGACAGAGGTGGCTTTTAGGTAATTATTGTGTCATTTTATGTTATTCCAGGAAAGACAGACATGATGGTAGTAATAACAAGGCCTTATGTTAAGATTTGGATATTTTTATGAACACATACTTTTTGTAGGAATCTCGTTTACATTTTAAGACTACAAAGCAAGGCACCTTAAACCTACAATATAACTAATATGTCTGCATCCTGATGTAATAAATCTAGTGTTCACAAAATACATTGAAACTTCACTAGCTGAATGTCAAATTGTCTTGCAGTCTTGCTTTTGGTTAGCTACAAAGAGAAAAGTTGTCCCTACACTGCACTGCCAATAATTTCAAATAGATTTTAGCCTGCCAGTTCAAGCAACCCATTAAATCTGGCTCCAAACTGCAAATTTATTTAGTCTATGCCATGTTTACCACCATTCTGTGATCTGAAACCTAATTAGAAAGTAGTGGTGATGGGATATTTTACTTTTTCAAAGCAGTTACAGTTTACAACTGAAGTACATATGTTTATTTAGCAGTTACTAAACTTAAATTATTCTCATTAAACTATTTTTTGTTATCTATAAAGCCTTTGTTCACGCTATATTAAAGGTTCTATATTACTCAGAATTTACTCTTGTAAGCTTTAAGTCATGTGATAATGCTGTTACCTCATGAAAACATACCTGGAGTGGTGTTTTGTTTCATTCCCACAAGTTTGACAAATCCTGCATTATTAGGCTGTCTATATCTACACAACTCCAGGTATGTTTTTAATGAGAAAACAACATTATAACACAGATCTAAAAATGGTGTAATATGGGCCCCTTTTAGGCTACTAAGAGTGTAGTTATTATAAAGTGTATACCTTAACCCTAGCTAGGTTTATCCAACATTTATCACTATTTTGTGATCTCAAAACTAAACAGAAAGTAGTGGTGATAGGATATTATGCTTTTGAATGTACTTATAGCTTCAATTTCCAACTAAAGCAAATATATATTGATAATAAATATATCCAAAATATCCAAGCTCTTAGTTGGAAAAACCTACTATAGGATATTTAGCTTTTTCTGTGTACTTGCAGTTATACTTTAAAACTGAAGTAAATGTGTTTATAAAAATATCCAAAATATCCAAGCTCTTATTTTGAAAAACCTACTATAGAATAAATGTAATGATGCATACACTTTTATTGCACTTTTCCTCATGGTAAAAGGGACACTGCTTTTAGATTTAATAATCAAGTTGCCGGTAAAGTTCCCCCATTTTGTTGTTGTTGTTCTTCCTCTATTTGACCTCTAGAGGGCGTGCTCCTCCTCTTTGCGATCGTGCCCCTCTAGTTCAGGCCACAGGTCGATATTTCGGCGCAGGGAGGTGAGCACCTGTACCTGTAGGTTGGAGACAGGTTCGGGAGAGGCGGCCAGTGCGGCGGTTGCCATGGTGCGGTTGAGGAGGGGGTTGGGGGGGTTGGAGCTCGGGGGGTGGGTGGCTTTCCAGTACGCCTCCAGGTAATCGGCCAGGTGTTCACACGCATCCTCCAGCTGGTTCTCATCCAGGATTATGTCAAATAATTCCTGAAAAATAAATACATAATTAAATATAAGAAGGTAAAATAATCGTTAAATCAATACTTATCAATCATTTATTATTTATCAATAATTTGGTTGAATAATAGGTTATGGACATTGTTAATCTGGATTACGTACAAACAATGAACAGATTTGGAAGGGAAAAACTTGTCAGTACTTGTGGTGGTTCATGCTTTTCTTAATCCATTAATATTCTTACACTAACTTTTCAGGTGAGATCTGCCATCTGTTTCTGTGGAGATATTTTTGCTCTGCCTGCAATGTTCCACAGTGCGGCAGTCATCTTTTCTATCCAGCATTTATATAATTCTGAGTGTTTTTAAAGCTAAAAAAATGCTTGAAAAATATTTTATTGCTGGGAGCTAGCATGCCTTTCCACAGATTTGACCTGTAACTTGGGTTGCACCACCTACTTGTTCCCATGGAGGTCGGGTTTAATGCTATACAGTGAAACATTCCAAGCAAAGCCGTAACAATTCCACGAAAACAAGCAGATTGCAGACCCTCCAACAAAATAGTTATATTGAGCATTTTTAACAAATTAAGAAGGAAAAATAAGTCTCTCTTGTAATATATTTATAAACCATTGCAGAAGAAGTAATTTTGTCTAATCGGTTTAGAGTAGAAAATAGACTAGAATTTTCTTATAAGTAAAAAGTCATTAAGTTCAACAAGAAACTCGTAACTTCAGCACAAAACAATGAAAACAAAAAAAAACACAGTTCAGTGACATTTTGGTAAATTAGAAATATATCCCAGTGAAATGTCAAAGCCTTGGGAGAATATGAACCAGACAGAAAGTACCAGCTGTGTAAACTCCAGCAGCCTCTTGTATTAATTTATAAGAACAATAATAATGAGGAGTATTCTTATGTGTATTAATGCTTATATGAGACTGTGAAACTTACAGGAGGACACTGAGCCAGTTTATCTGCCGCCACCATCTGGACGTTTAAGTGTTTGGCCTGGGACTTTCCTCTGGACTTGATCAGCCTTTGGAGGACCTGAAAGAAGACAGCAAGGGTAAACAAAGATCTGGTTCAGGGCTGGGTTAGATCTTGTTTGTTCCTGGCTTTTATAATTAATATGATTAAAGCATAGAGCAGGCTTATCGTTTTAGTTTTTATTTAGTTACTGCCAATGAATGCCTTATTATAATAATGATTAGTTCTGATCCGATCCTGGTAAGTTCCGGTTTAGTCTTGAGATTTGTGAAGTGGTAAATGTGGTCCTGGAGTAAATCCTCTTCACTGTAAGTAGGGTCACCTTTCCACAGATCTGAGCTATACATATACCAGCTCAGAGACATCACTTGCTTAACTTAATGAACACAGATGAGTTCAATGTCTAACTTCCAGACAAAACAGTAACATCTCCGTGGAGGCAAACAGGTGGCAGACCCATAAGAAAAGCTACATAGTACATCTTTAATCCCCAGGAACTCTTGGTTTATCCATGGTTAAGCCCTGGTTTAGTTTTGATTGAGCCTTTTGGAATGAATTATTTGGGTTTTAGTCTTGGCTTTGTTCAGGTTTATGTCCTGGTTTAGTTTTGATCCAGCTTTAGTCATTGCTTTATCCTTGTTTCTTTACAATATTGTCAAATCCTCATAAAGCTGTCTTATTTTGTCCTAATTCAACTCATTTCCGTCTGATTTAAAAACTTTCCATGGGATCTCCATTATTTAGCCTCATCAGTGTGCAAATCTCTGCCCTGAAACATTATTGGATTCATTTTTTCCAGTATAAATTATCAAGCGTTGCAGTACCTTGGGCGAGGCTATTTTGATGTAGACGATGATGGGAGCCAGAGAGGTCTTTGCGAGTTGGGAGGGGTGGTTTATGGTGTCGGCGTCCAAGGCAACCAGCTGTAGGGTCCTTGCCAACTCAAAAATACGCTCGATCTCACTCTGCACCTCCGCTACAGCCACGAGAAACACAGGAAACAGGTCAATACAAGAAATATATATTCCCCATACTACCAAACAATGCTATTTCAAAGAAGGTAGGACAGTGTGTGAAAGGAAATCAAAAACATACAAGAGACAGTCGTTTGCAAATCCCATGAATCTGTTGTACTTTAATAAGGCAATTTACCTTTTCTGAATAGTTGTCATGGTAACAACAGTGCTCCAAAAAGGGATAGAAACAAAAGGATGGCAACATATATTTTTGTTTCCTTGGGTTTCCAGACAAGTATTATCAGTGCCAAAAACATACCAAGGTTGGATAGAAGATTCTTGCCATCAGATTTAAAGGTGCACTACGTAACTTTTCTGGTGAGGGGTCTACCATCTGCTTGTCTCCATGAAGAGATCACAATATGGCATTAAACTTATCTATACATCTTTCATAGAATTTATTTTCATAGGGCTATTTTTATTGCTAAAATCAAGTTTAATGCCATACTGTGGAACATACTGTATATAATTATGTATAATTATCATGGCGCCTTATTTGACACCAGTCTCTTGCTGTTTTTGCTACTTGGGCAGCAGTAGTTCAGTTTTGTCCACTGATCTGAAGGTTTAGCTGTTTGAATCCTGCTCTTGACATAAACATCATTGGTGGAGCGGTCAGATCCACTAACCCACAGGTTGACAGTGTGATTCCAGCTTCCACAGATGAATACTGTCATTGTGTCCTTAGGCAAGACACTTAACCCACCTCGCCCTCAGTGTCTGCGTACACTGGTACATGAATGTGTGTGTGAATGGATGAGTGGTTCCTTACTGTAAAGCCCTTTGAGTGCCTTGGAGGAAAATCGTTATATTAAAAATGTGGCCATTTCTTTATATTGAAGGTATTATTACATTTATATTTTTACTATTTGCTATTGTAATATATTGTTATTGTAATATGTTGTGTGAGCTACTGTGCCCAAATAATTTCCCTTGTAGATCAATAAAGTTTGTCTAAGTCTAAGTCTAACATACCTGGCAAAGCAATAACATTTCCATAGAAACAAGCAGCTGTTGGACCCCCCATTAGAAAAGTTACACAGTGAACCTTTGAATACATTTTTATGGGATTTACAAGCAATTGTTTTCTGTTTTTATTTCCATTTGACACAGCACCCAGGTCTTTTTTGAAATGAGGATTGTCACATAGAGAGTGCATGTTAGTACTTGACCATGCGTCTCACAGACTCTGCAGTCTCCATTTGAGCACAGCAAAATGGAGCAGCACCACATACCCATCCAAAGTGCCGCCCCCCATCGACTTCTTTCACATTATGTTAAGTTTTAATATTTATTGTTTTCATTTCAAGTTTGAAAGGAAGGAGGCACTTCAAAATGAGATGCAATAGGCACTCAGAGTTACTATTAATAAGGGCACGACTCCCCACCATGTAAACAAAACAAGACGGAGACCTGGCCTAATCAAAAAACAAATGGAGTGAGGCTATAGTTTTGGTTAGTGCTAATAGCACAGCAGTGATTTAGAGAGGACTCAAGACTGGACTGAACATTCTGTGGCTAAACTGTTATACTGTAATATGCAGTCTTGTGTAAACAGTTAGTTACCAGGTGTCAAACATGTTAGTAGTTTTGTTCTTAAGAAGCCCTGAAATGCACTTGATTCTTGCATTTTTTCAGCAGTACATGATAAGGATAATATTTGGAATTTCTCTTTTTAACACAAAATTTGCACTTAATCAGTCTATCTAGCTCTCTATCTGCTCATGAAAATATAATATGATTGACCCAAGAATACTAATACTTTCTTCTAAGTGTGATTACATCGCAACAACACATTAGATGACCTAATGATTGGTCCTGATTGGTCCGTCAGTCTGACCACACCAACGGGAAGTAACAACAGCTGATATTTGGCATACTAGTATATTAGACATGACACCAACACTGGTGGTGTTCTGAGCATCTCAGTCTTACAGCCGAAACATGTCGACAAGGTAAATACATCTACTGTATTATCTTAAAAAGAACCCAAGAAGTTCATGTATAAAAGAGGACAAGTTTTGGATGACCAAATATACTAGTGAAGTTTGAACCAGATTCCCCCTGGCTTGTCGGAAAATGCTTAATTTACTGTTCCTTTATCGCCCCATATTAACTTCACAATATAGATTACATACAGTTTAGTGCAAGATATGATCAGTGCCTTGGCAGATATCTACACTTTGCAAGTACTTCTACTTTTCTATATTCTGTGCCCGTTGATACCGTGCTGTCCTTTACACAGCTCAACTGTTTGACTGAGATTAAAACCAAAAGCACAATGTTCTCAGTCGGTCCGGTCACAAAATGCTTTTTGAGGTGCTGCCATTTGAGAGAGATAACAGGGCCCCAGCAATCTGCAGAAAATGCAGCCCTGAGTTTTGTTTGAAAGGTGAAATAGAGAGACACAAATCTCCAGGTGAAAGAATAAAAGGAAAAAGATGGATTTATATTGTATTTTATGATGAGAAACGTAGTGTGTATTTTGGTTTACGACTAGATCAAAAATAACTTGGGCTGTATTTTTTTATATAATGATATCATGTTGTTCCTCATCACAAATATACCTGGAGTTGTCTTTTTTCACTCACACATGTTTAACACACAACTCGTGCATATTTAGGCTGAGTTCTTCTCTCAAACATAAAACACCGTGTTCCACCTTGTGATGTCATTTGGTAATACAGTAAGTGCTCCCCTGTGTTAAACTCCATGCACCTTCATTTGGATGATTTCAGTCCTGGATATGCCAATCTCTATTGAACAAAAGGTAAAAGGTAGCTGTTTGGCTTGAAAACTACCACTAGATGACATCACAAGGTGGAACAGAGCATTTTGAACTTGAGAGATGTAGACAAACTAATAATAAAGGACTCAAATATGTGTGAATGAAACAAAACACAACTCCAGGTATGTTTCTGAGGAGGTACCAACATTCTAACATGACTTAAAGCTCACAAGAGTCAATTTAGTGTAATATATTACCTTTATAATAATTGTACTTTTTGCTAATATTTCTGATGCATCTACAGCATACCTACTAAAACAACATATCTTAGCAATAGTGAAATTACAAATAAATATAGGATTACATAGGACCTACTTAAAATCATTTAAACTACATTATAATCTAAGTGCTAATTAAAAGCACTTGGGGATAGGTGTAGACCTCTGCCAAGGCACTGGGTCGGGTTTGTAATACTATAGCCTCATTATGTATTTTGTATTTGTATTTTCTATCATTATGTATAAATTTGAGCAAACTGTGCTTTTTTGACAGTGGTTTAAAATTTTACAGAAACATAACTTATAATCTATTTAAACATATAAAAAATATGTGAAATGAAATAAACATGATTTCAAACAGATTTAAGCATGTTAACTGCTCAAATAATCAGTTCAAAGTTTTGCATATAATATTATAATAATATAATATCTGACTCTTATGTTTTTGTTAGAAGTTTCAGGCTGTCACATTGAGTTACATAGAAACTGACAGGCAGGCAGACAGGCAGACAAATGCAGTGAGCAGATTATGAATATTGTGAATAAAGTAAAGTCCAAAGTTAGAGGAATAAAAGACAGAGAAGGACAGACATTTTGTGTTGGAAAGAGGAGCATACATACCCAGTACATCTGGATCAAAAGAGGAAGATGGAGGGAGAGGAGATGGAAGAGGTGGGGAAAAGACAGGATGAAAAAGAAAGGCCAGATCAGAAAATAAAAAAGTAAAATTTGGAAAGTTTTTTTTTTTTTTTTTTAAATATATAACTGAACAACTAAATGAACAATAATATCAAAAAGGGCACTATATAAGAACCACTTGTAAATAACTGAATCAAGTTACAGCAGGATTCTAGACCTTCATAATAATAAGGGTGCATTCACTTCACATTGTACCGTGTAACACCCCAATATTCTACCCTTTGGATGGTCAAAAGTCCTAAAAATGGCGCCCATAACAGTAAACAACAAAAGTAACTGTAGTAATGACAGAAACCCATGAACAGAGGTGGAAGTTAGAATTCTGAAATCTATATTCTGAAACAACCTTTAGAGTTAGCCTGTAACATCAATCTTTGAGAACCATAACAAATAAGTTATAGTATTCATACAGACATCAAAGCTATTATTTTTGTCCACATGATATGAAACACAGAAAGCTTGGGAACTCAGATGGGTGCCCTGTGGTTGACTTATGTACTAGTGACAGTATGATGTAGTACTGTAGGTAAATTTTTCGGAAATAAAAATGACATAATTAGGCAAAAACAAGCAAAATCAGCCCTACATATCGGTTCAAAAAATATCAGCAGAGTTAATCGACCATGAAAAAAAACATGAAGTCTGATCTCTCGTAGTGAGCAGGTGTGTGTCGTTGTGATTGATGGGTTGGTTATGGTTGGTTGTGTGTAGTGGGTTGTTGTTGTGGTGGTTGTGTAGTTGTTGTGAGCAGCTGTGTGTGGTTGGAACTGTATGCAGATGTATGTAGTTTTCTGTAGTTGTACATTGTTGTGGGTGATTGTTGTGTGCTTATGTGTGGTCCACTGTGGTAGGTTGTTGTTTTGATAGTGCTTGTGTGTGGTTATGGTGTAGTTGTTTGTGTGTTTGAGTGTGTTTATGTTGTACATGATTGTAGTTGTAGTAGGCTGTATATGCGTGGTTATGATGTGTTTATGTGTGCGGTTGTGTGTAGTTTTGGTGTGGTTGTGTGTGTTGTCTCACCCAGGCTGGAGCGCGTGCTGGAGCGCTCGATGATGGTGTGTTTACTCGGGTTGTTGAGGACGGAGCGCTTGGCCAAAGAGATGTCTGCAGTGACTCGTGTGATGGATATCCTGAAAATACACAATCAAAGTAATGTTTTATTATATATTTGACTTAAAAGTACAATATCATATATATGCAACTTTGTAACTGGTGAAGAGTCTGCCACCTTCTTATATTCCATAGAGATATTATTGCTTTACCTGAATTATTCCACAATACGGCATTAAATTTACAATATCTGAGACAAGCAGATGACATCAAGTTATAGGTCAAATCTCATAGTAAGACATGTTTTTCCAAGATATTTTAGAGCGGAAAAAACTGCTATTTAATTGCAACACAGTGCAATACAATACTGTGATGCTACTAACGTTCCAGGCAATAACATCTCCATGGAAACAAGGAGGTGGTCAACCCCTCACCAGAAAAGTTACATAGTGCCCCGTTAAGATAAAAATACTTGAGCCCAATTAAAAAACTAACAAACAACAACTTCAAGTCAGTGATGGCCAAGGATTCCAGTGTATCCAGGATTTTTTCAATGACAAACTGAGGTGCAAAAATGTTATTCAGGTTTATACCAGCTGCTCCTCTGACTCCCCATTTTAACTTCACACAAAATAAAAATACAGATTGTACATTTTATTGCAAGATATGATCAATAATGTCTTGGTGAGGTCTACAAAGCTTCTGTTGCTTCCAGTTTTACATCTTCTCTCCACTGATACTTTGCTTTGCTTTGACCTTTAAACACTGCTGTAGATCAGTTCATTGCCACATTGTTAACAATTATTGCTTTAGTGGTTTTACTGGCAAATCTATTCTCTTGGACTGTGCCAGCACCAAGTTATACCAATTGGATCAGCAAGATGTAAGATATATTTTTATATTGTAAACCCAATATAAGTACAAAGTTTAAGACAATCTAGTAATGGTTAAATTGAAAGTACAGGTGTCTTGGTCTTACCTGCCCTCAAACTTGTGTTTCAGGAAGTCAAAGAGTGCCTTTTGCATCATGTCTGTCACCTAAAGTAACAACAAATAAAACAACATATAATTCAAGAAATCAATCTCTAAGCATACAAAGAGAAATGAGTCAGGAATACATGTTACATTAGAAAGTACAGACAATGTTGGTCATATAGGCTAGTATTGAAGTTTGTGGTCTTGAATAATTGCTATGCTTCATACAGTACTATAGGAAGATTCTACCCTTAGACTATAAACAGTTATCAGTCTTTGCCATCAAGGTTATAGCCATAATCTAATTCTACATTTTGAAAGATATATGCTTTAGTAGTAAATGAATACCATTTGAACAGTGGTAGAATGTAACAAAGTAAAAGTAGTAAAGTACTATACATCTGGACTTTACTTAAATATATTTTTTATTTTTGATTCACTCCATTTTAGAGCAGGTATCTGAACTTTCTACTCCACTACACTATTGAACAGGACTGAAAAGTAAAAGTATTTTTCTTATAGTTTGAGACCTGCAGAAAAGCCTGGGGGGAGCACCTTTTTGTAGTTTGAGCAAACAAAAATATACAAAAAATAAAAACAGCTAGAAAAAAAGTATTGATTCACTTGTTTCTGCTGAAGAAAATTCAGCACAAATCTAAAACAAAATCACTACATTTGAAGCTTTATAAGACCTCAAAATCCATGCAAAATACTTTAACTTTTTACTCTTTAAGTACATTTTAAAAATAAGTTTATTAAATATACAACTGTTTACCTCATATCCTTTGAGCGAGGGTCCGACTAAGATGATGGGTCTCATTGACGGGACCACATCGTACGGAGGCACGTGCTCCATCTGAGAAAAACACATCACATGGTCACGTTAAGGCCCTGGTACGTTATACTGTATAAACTACAGCCTATATATTCAGATGGTTTTACCCAGAACATAAATCAAACTGAACTCCACAAAATGCCCTCTCTCTGCTCTGTCGATTTCGCTGCTCTGCTGTTACTCTCAGATTGATGGATGGGCTTTCAGACATTTGCTTGAATAACTCTTTCATAAAATTTAAAACATTCAATTTCTGACACCACACTTGTCATCCATCCTACTCGAGAAACAGAACTTGTGTCTCTACAGTTTTAAACTGTTGTTACCACCTCAAAAGCATAATTGGAGATGTGCTTTATTTCATTGTTCATTGTCTACATCTCCAAAGCTCTAAATGCTCTGTTCCACCTGGTGATGTCCTATGGTGGTAGTTTTCAAGTTAGCACAATGTGGAACAGAGTGTTTTCTGTTTGTGAGAAGAACTCATCTTAAATATGCCAGGTTTGTGTGTTGAACGTGTGAATGAAACAAAACACAACTGCAGGTATGTTTTGATGAGGAAACATTATTATAACATAGATCAGAAAATAGTGTAATATGGCCCCTTTAAATACTTTGAACACTGTGCTTCATTTTTTGACATGTTAAGTCTAGACAGTTACTTACTTGATTATATATACTTGTTTAATCACTTTCCTGGGCCACTATTTTATACTTCTGCTTCAGTATTAAGTAACTGAACTCTACCTTAAGTGCAGTTTTTGGCTCCTCACTTCTGCTGGTACATTATAGAATAAATAAATAAGCTCTATACATTCAGATGGTTTTAGCCTGAGCATACATCACATTGAAATGGCCTCTCTACCCTCTGTCTATAACACAGATTGATAGATGTTGGGCTTTCAGACAGCGCACTGAAGTCCATTTATTTTATTGACGGCTTACGAATGTTCAGGAGCCAAGATCAATCCCCACCTCTCTCTCCTCTCTTTGTTTCTCTCTCTCCCTGTCCTCCTCCTTTCCCTCTCTGTCACTCTCCCTCTTTCTCTCCCTCCGTATCTCTCTCCTCTTTCTTTTCTTTGAGTCTAATTAAAACAGAACTAATTAAAATGAGGCGTTCGTGACAGTGGATTTATAGTAACGCTCTGACGCTTCACGTTTCATTTGCACCAAAGTGAGAAGTGTGTCTGGGAATTAAACCAGAGCTACTGCCTAATCTGTCAGTCTAATGCGTTTTTTCTAATTCATGACCGCCATTTGTAGGACTTTTGACCTACTTTTGAAGATATGATATTTTGTTCAGAATTGTTAATTGCTATGACAAAGGGGCACATTTTTCATCACTTGAAAGTCATGAATATTAAATTTAATCAAGAATTAGAAAATGTGTAAAGCTTTTAACACTTGGTTTAAATATCTTATAGCCGTTTTAAAGGGCCCATATTATGCTATTTTCTGATCTGTTACAATATTGTGTCCTCATCACAAACATACCTGGATTTGTGTTTTGTTTCATTCACACATGTATAATACACCATCCCTGCATATTTAAGACGAGTTCTTCTCTCAAACAGAAAACACTCTTTTCTACCTTGTGATGTCATGTTGTAACACAGAAAGCTCCACTGTGGTTTTAAACTACAGACACCTTCACTAGAATCATTTGGTAAGAGTTCAGATCTAGAATTATCAGTCTCTACTGAACTAAAGATAAAAGGTAGTTGCTAATTTGAAAACCACCACTTCAAGGCAGAACAGAGCATTTTGAGTTTTGAAGATGGAGACAAATTAATAATTATTATGGTACTCAAAAAACAAAAGGCAACTCCGCTTAATTATTTGACAAGGTAACAGCATTGTATCATGGCTCACAAAAATCCATTTTGTGTAATATAGCACATTTTAATTATTTCATTTTCATGTAGTTTAGTATCTAGATACTAATTACAAACAGAAGGTCAGTGTTTTCACCATATTAAGATGTATGGGCAGAGAATTTACCCCTGAACTAGTCCAAATGCATACCATCACAACATATTCACAACTGCAGATCTAACTGTTTTGATGAAACTCTGAGCCTCTTGTTACTTTTACTTTACATTCTGTACATTGCGTCTTCCATTATTATTTATTTAAGAGAAGAAATCTGAACAGAGAAAAAAAAATATGGTAGTTTATGTGGTCTAGAAAAATCGTGTTTATATAATGCCATAGTAAAGCATTGCGATTTCCCTCAGGCTTTTCCAATGTAAATGCAATCTCAGATCTGACAGTGTGACTTATACCGAACACCCACACAACCCAATAGCAGCATGAGCAGGACATATGCCTCCATTTTAAATCGTGAAAACATAATGCATAAGATATTTGCATCTCTTGCCTTTAAATCCAATTGAGAGAAGCCCATTCACACAGCGGGATAAGAGGAAATACTGATAGATTCTTTCTTTGATGTTTTTATTTTGCTTAATCCATTTGTAGCACGCTGCCTCCTCTGTTCCTCTAAGCACACTGTAAAAACAGCATAACTTAAAGGGCCCATATTAAGCAAGATTGACTTCTGAGCTTTAAGACATGTTAAAATGTTGTTACCTCAGGGCTTGGTCAAGCAGAAGTAAACAGCAAGGCCAAAAATTCAAGTTAATGCATCTGATATAAAAATGTATTCAACAGATAGCATATGTACTCTAGTTTATGAAACTGTTTACCTTTTTTCTGTACCATTTTTGGTTCTAAAGTTACATACGTTTTAAACAGACCATGTATGCAACATGGAACAAAAATTATTTCCCAAATTTCAAAGACCTGCAAATCATGTAAATAAATGGATGTATTTCATCATATCTTGTGTTATTCGATCTTTGAACTGTTGATGAAGGTACATGATTTTTCAAAAAAAAATGTATTTAAAATGATAAAAATTTGCTTGGAAGGACTGACATATTTTATACAAATAGTTACCTTTCATTTTAGTAATATTAAAGTTTTCGGAAGAAAAAAGCTGAAAAATTATGCAAAATCATGCACCTTCTACTTGCTTGCACAATTTTCCCTCCATTACTTTTCCCTCCGTTACCATGACCTTTCTTAATAAAAAATCTCATTACTCAAAAAGTAAGAGGTTTTTCAACCTAATCTTGTACCATATGGTAGAAAACTATATGAAGCAAATATTCAAACCAGTTTGTTAAGGATATGTAAATGAGAACCGCTAGTTATCGCTGTTTGTATTTATTGCCCAAAAAGAGCTGCATATTTCATTCTCTCCATTACCGACATGAGTTTTTAAATTTTTTGTCAACAACTTGAAAAAATATCGCAGGGTTAACTTTACCCTGTTGGAGTGTTAACTCTTTCCTACATTCTGATACTTTACTTATTTCAATAGTCCCTCTAGTTTATGAATAAGAGCTATTTGAATGTAAAAAATCTGCCCCTGTTTCCCTCCGTTACCGCTTGACCGGACCCTTCATCAAAAAATATCCAGAGTTAGATTTGTTGTACTCACACATTTGAGTAATCCTTCATTATTAGTCTGTGTACATCTACCGTTTACCTTTGGTTCAGTAAGGATTGCCAATACCAAGGCTGAAATGATCCAAATGATTCTTGTGAAGGGGTATGGAGTTTAAAAACACAGTGGAGCACTTCCTGTGTCACCACATGACATCGCAAGGTGGAATAGTGTTTTCTGTTTGAGAGAAGAACTCAGCTAAATATGCAGGAGTTGTGTGTTAAAAATGTGTGAGTGAAACAAAACACAACTCCATGTATGTTTGTGAGGAGAAAACAACATTATAACATAGATCAGAAAATAGTGTGATAGGGGCCCTTTAAATGAGAAGAAATTAGACTATTAGAACCAAGATAAATATGTTTAATTTCACCCCTTTCAAGCAGAATAGCTTCTAAATGTGGGGCAGCACAGTGGACTGGAGTGGCTGCAGCTCTATTACATAAAGGAGCCCATCTCATTTGTATTCATTTCATACAGGCTAAAACTATATTGTAAATTATTCTAAAAGGCTCTTGTCTGGAAAAGAGCACGATGTGACCAAAGTGTAAAAGATGGTTTGAATTTGAAAACGGCTAAAAATGCTAAATGAAGTCATAGGTTCAATGATATTGCCGTGAACAGTTTGTGAATAAAAAGTAACTCACAGAAATGCCACAGTGGTTTGTGTTAAGTATTCCAGCGTCAGAAATTCTAGTATTTGCAAAACATTTTAAAAAACTAAATGAGTTGAGATATAATCAGGTCTAAAGCGGGACTAAACTATCAAACAAACTATTGATACTTTGCCGTGACATCACACTGGGGGTGTTCTACATGTATGTGTATGGCAGAATGTTCATAAACATGTATTTTTCTTCCATTCATTCATTACTTAATGTTTTGTCCATAAAGCTACATTTATATGATGACAGTCTAAACAGAAGATGCAAAAGTAGAGTCGCACTTTCACTTTTTATTCCGTGTTTAGACAAGCATTTCCAGGAAATCTGCGTGTATATAGTGATGCAAAAATGTGTAGAATTTGATTGGGGTATGCAAGCCATCCAACATGTTTGTTTCTGTGTACTGTATGTATGTGACGTAAATGCATACGCATCGTGAGCAGATCTGACCAGAGTTTTGCGTCTTGGGCAGTGTAGACGGAAACACTACAGCGGAGTGTATTCAACTTTTCCACTCTGAAGGGTGTTTTCAGATTTTTACATTTTTAAGCCCCAAAAATGCAGTCATCGTCTAAATGAAAGGCACTTCCAAAAAAATATTTTGTCGTTTTTACCCGCAAGCGTTCTCGTGTAAACAGGCCCTAAAATTACATTAACTTTATAAATCAGCTCACCCACTAGCCACTAGCAATGGAGGTGCTTCTGGCTAACTGCTGCAGTCATAGTTCAGGCTCATAATTTTGGTCTTAAAATGTTCACATTAACCCGGCTGTACCTCCTTCTGGTGTTTTTATTCCACTATTTTGTTCATAAATCAATTCCTAATCCTAATATGGAACTACACTCCAAAATTGCCCCATATCTGTTAGTTTCATGAGCTTCATTTTGACTGGAGCTGAACACTATGGGTGACATGACAGTTCCTTAGTTCACTTCTTTATACAGTCTATGTATTCACTGTACTGACCACCAGTCTGTAGCCCACTGCTTCATCCCTTGATGAAAAAGCTGTGGACAGCTCTGCTTTATTGTGATGACACTAACTGCATTATAAAGAAATGTGACTATAAATCTATATTGGGATCAGAGTGTTGACATTTTAAACAAAGACAGTTGCAGCCTCCCACTCAGTGTATGTTACAGTGATGTGTTTGGTGAGCAGTTCAAATGAGGCTGACAACGTGATCTGTGGACTGTGTCACAAATCAAAGCATCTGTCTCCGGCGCAAATGAGAGGCCGTCAGGGTGCGTTACCACGGCGATCTGACTAACCAGGTCTGTCACCATTCTACACCTGCACCTGCTACAGACAGGCACTACGTAGTGATGCAAAAATGTGTGTTTGGCTCAGTGACAGGTGTCAAGATAGTGTTGTTGATGCCATACTGAAATTTCTGTGTAATCCCTCAGTCATCCAGGTATGATCCAAAGCAAAAGGAAAAATCTGTTCTGTCAAAACTGTCTAAAACTTTGGTTAAATTGACAGAACTGATTTTTATTTTTGAGATACTAAAATTTCATATTATTTCAACACAAAATAATAGCACTTTCTCCATGGTACCATGTGATATAAGTTCTGATAAAGCTCAAGATTACTGTTCAGGAAAGTTCAAATTTTCTCATGTTTTTTTCATTATTGATACTTGTTCAAATAAATATCTAGTTTTGATACTAGTATAGTATCGATTCATTTCTGAATATAAACTGTATTAACTGACTATCATACAGAAGTTCAGAAATGAACTAAAACTGGTATATTTCTGTCATAGATAACCATATATCATTGACATATTAAGAGTATAGCAACAGCAGAAGCTTGTCTTGAGGAAGATGCTTAGCATATGGTGCTTTATTTGCTTTTGTGGACAATAACGGCTGTTATAAATTTTAGACAGACTGCTGCCAACAAAGAAACCAACAAAGAAAAAAATAGTTTATGAGTTTATATATTATCCCACTACTACTACAACTACAACAACAACTACTACTATATCTCTTGAAGACACATTGTTTCTAAACCAAAAATACTACTACTACTACTTTTATCGGAACTACTACTACAATAACAACAATAGTCTTCTGTTTTGTTTTCTAATCTAAACTTGAAAGTTTTGGAAAAGCAAACAGAGATAGAGGACACATTGTTAATCCCATGTTAGTTGTTAGTAAAGATTAGACACTCACCGATTTCTGCTTCTGTTTAGCTGGACCACCTACATCATTGTCATTCCACACAAACAGCAGCCAGGCACAAGACCGAACCAAATTAAACAAAAGAGAAAAGAAGACGAGACAAAAGACAAGAGGGACATTTCGGTTAGTGACAGATTTGGATTAAAGATGCTGGTTTGGGACAAGATCTGGTTCTATTGATTCAAAGGAAGAGACACCAGTGTTTACAGAGATAGATATAGAGACAGATAGGCACAGGCAGGAGCGGCAGCCATTTTAGTTAGTTCAACGCCTCCACTGCAACGACTACAAAAATAAGATGAGGTTAGATAAGGAGAGAAAAGGTTACATAAGGTTAGAAAGACCAGGTGTGTCAAACTCATTTTCACCATTTGGGGGTAGATATGTGTCATGTGAGATATTCAAATTGATACTTTGCAGTGACATCATGCTGGGGGTGTTCTACATGTATCTCTATTGGCAGAATGTTCAGGAGTTATCTTGGAGACATGTCAGCAAACACTGCCAAAAAAGTTTCCGCTAACTTGTGCCTCTTAAGTGTGAGAGACTTGTTTAACAGCACAAAGCATACTACTACTACTACTACTATTATATTAATATTACTACTACATTTGCTGTAGTTCCGATTAAATCAGCTCAGATTGTGTTCTAACATGATTAACAGAGCTTCAGTCAGAGCAGTGCCTACAGTTAGTATCATTCCCCCAGAAAATGTTGATGACATCAGTTGCAAAGTATCAATTATTTGTTATGCTATTGTCTTATAGCTGGTTAGACTTCTGTGGTGCCTTTTAAAGTTTTAGTTTGAATTAAATTTAATTATACATGTTATCCAGAAAATACTGGTGACATAATGTATTTAAATAGTCATCATTTTATTGTTGTATTGTATTGAGTGTATGGGACAAATGTTAAGCCCCATTGTCTACATTAACTGTACTAATACTTATAATTTTCCATGGTAATAATTTCTATTATTTATTTATTTTTATTTTTTTTACATAATGCTAAACAATAATGCAATAATCACACCATACTTATATATTTTTTTCTATTTTTTATAACCTCTTTTGGACAATACAATGCCTCTAACTTGTTTTTAATAACTGACCAATCAAATAATAATGCTATTTATCAGCACAATACATGAATCTGCACCATTGTCGTCTATACCCAGAACTATTACACACATTTCAACTATAACAAAATCACCACCAATTAAAGCCTAACAAATGGCTAAATTTGAGTTTAATACACCTTGTATCTGTTCCTGGTTAGAGGTTTCCATGGTTACAGTATGGATGCAGTAGATAGCAAAGCCAGTACTACCCCAGGACATGTTTCTGTGCATGATACAGCCCTGGTCTCTGCATTACCTTCTTAAAAAAGGGGAGGCGGTGGATGTTGGCCTGATGGGGAGAAGTCACGCTCCCTGACAGACTTTTGGGGGAGCGTGGTTCTCCCATTAAATCCATGGAGTCCTCTGCTTCCAGGTCCACTGAGTCTATTTCAAAACTGGCATCGGGGTGGACTGAGTATGTGCAGTGGTGATAATGAAGCAGAGATGAAAGAGAAAGGAAAAGAAAATACAAGAAATAAGGGACAGAAAAAGGAAGATGAAATGAAGATAGAGGCGGGCAATATATCAAATGATCAGTATTATTGTGAATTGTTTTGGAGATATGTTAAATTTTAATAATGAATATATTGTGAATTATTTGTGAATTTGATTTGAGATAAAAAAAAAAGTATCTATCTATCTATCCATATTGTTAAAATAAAATACAAAACTTAAAATGCTGTTTAAAATGGAATAAAACTTGTGTTGTAATCTTCAGACAAAAGTCTGAATGATCTCATACCCAAAAGGTAAATTCACAAATAATTAACCTGATAATTTCTATTAATGACTAGTCAGTAAACCTTTGGACTAGCTATTACAACTCAATATATGACTTTTAACAATACTAAATTACTGTACTAATTATTAGCCTATAGAATGTTATAATATCATCTGTAACCCAGCAAAAAAATTGATTTAACAGTTCATTCACCATAGTCTAATATTTAAAAGGTCATATATTATACTAAATTGACTCCTGTGAGCTTTAAACCATGTTACAATGTTGTTATATTCTCAGAAACTTACCGTACCTGGAGTTGTGTTTTGTTTTATTCACACATTTGACTGATACAGCATCATTAATCTGTCTACATTTCTAAAGCTCAAAATGGTCTGTTCCATCTTGTGATATTATGAAGTTGTAGATTTAAAGTTAGCATTTCCACGGCTGAAATTATTCAAATTATGGAATATGGAATTTAAAACAGCCCTGGAGCAGCATTAGCACATGACAAAGGAAAAATTCAATTCTGTCAACTGGAAGTTTTTTTGATCAAATACGTCATCAAGGTTTTTTGATCAAAAAATCCAGTGGCAGCACTCAATTTCTCCTTTGCCATGGATCCTACCTGGACGATTGGGATTTTCTGTTTGAGAAAAGAACTTAGCCTAAATATGCAGGTTTGTGTGTTAAATATGTGTGAATAAAACAAAACACAACTCCAGGTATGTTTGTTTTGAGGAAACAACATAATAACATAGATCAGAAAATAGTGTTATATCTTCAATTTAAAGACTCGTAGCACCTAGGCTTTCCAAAAATATCTTATGATTGTCAGTTGGATAGTAAAGATCATTTTTTACAAAATTGCCCATCTCTAGAGATAGCTAGAAAATAACACAGAGCTCTGCAGTGCCCACCCACGTACATTTCATATACATTTTCTCCTGCACTTTTTGAAAAATCTGTATATTTGGAATTTAGAAAAATAACAAAGGCTAACTACATGTGAAGAGACCAATGATCATCATTTATCATTTATCAAATTTTAGATCACTACTTTAACAGAATTTATAAGCTTGATCTGGTGGTCTTTAGTTACCCTTTATTCAATTACCCAACACTAAGGTTTTTAAGCACACAGATTTTTAAAAACATCTGTGGAACAAATGAATGGCAAATTAACTTTTGGAACAGTGGGTGGGCATGCAGTTTTAAACCCAACTGAAAAAGACAAAAGAGTGTCACAAAAATAGAAAAAAAAAGTAATTAAAATGATTTGGAAACAAAAACAAAACTGCACAACAATACAGAAACAGTGCAGAAAGTTATAGGAAAGATAAGGTAAGAGGTAAAGAAAGCTGCAGGGCCATATATGTTTTAACTGGGTAGATAAAAGCAATAAAAAGAAATTGTGGCTAGTGTTGTGTCAGAGTTTAAAATGGAATCCCTAGGACCTGCAGTGTGTATTGGTTATGACAGGGTAATAATCCTGCTTATACACAAATATTAACAGAAAATATGAAGTTGCATCTGGGGGCTTTAAATGCAACACTACAAAAAATCTCCATGAAAACCTCCATCATAATATCAGTCATTCAGCTTTCTGTAAACCTGGGATTACATGTTCATAACCCCTGGATGACCGTGACTCTTTACCTGTGCCCGGTGGAGTAGGTCGGCGTGTTCCTGTGGCAACGTCCAGACTAGAACTTCCACCAGATTTACTGTCAGTAGAAAAGAAGTGTACAGTTTTATGCATTTCACAAGAGTAGTTCAGTGTTGCGATAAAATACTGAAAGAGTCACTATTTCTGTCCCAAAATGTTCTTGGATTTGTTCATGTCATAATTTTAGACAGAGCGCAGGGGCCTATATAAATTTATGGAAGATTCAATGTTTTTGCAAGAAAGACTAAATGAACCTGATCATTTTGTTAGTTTCATATCAAGCTTATGACTTAAAGCCCTTTCAACTGACAAGAATCCCACAGTTTGAAAAAATGATTGAACCTTAGTCCAATGAGATTCATTTGGTCTTCTGATATTCTATGTTATTAGGTTCTTTTTTTCAGACTTAGAGTGTTATTTCATACCTGACAGATTGAACCTAGTGCAAACTAATTAACCATAAAAAATTGGTCAAAGCATCTGCATTGTAACCTTTATATCACAAATTCTCACATAAAATGATTAGCGCCAGCTCAATTCTAACGTAATGGGCTATTTAAAATGTTGTGATGTAACACAAACACAATCTTAATCTCCTCACCATTATGTCCTATTTTTCCTAAAACATCTGACTAAAACAAAAAGACTCTCAAACCAAATCTTTTTCTGAACTCTTTGGAGCACAAACAAAATTGGCTGGGGTCTTTGTAAAGCTGGGAAGTTTTGGCCTCTGTCTGATCGACTCTCATTATAAGTGATAGAAAGGTGTAGCTGGTCTCCCTGGGGATGATCTGATAGACGGCAGACTGAGCGTTTGTTTGGGTCAATTCTCACGTCAAAGCTGAGACATACCTCACTAAAAATGAGATTTAGGGACTTCTAATGAGGCAAATCAGTGTTGTTGTGTTACCTGGAGCTAAGGCGGTTCTGTCTCATCCTTTGCTCCTGCAGAAGTCGAGTGTTTTCTAGTTTGACAGGACTCGGGATGAAGCCCACCTCACAGCCCTCCTTCACCAGGCGCCCAATCCACCAGTCATTATTGTACTTCTGTAAAGGGAAATGAAACATGTAAAAGCATACTGAGATAATTGATAATAACAGTGTTACTGCCAAAGTAAAGTATTTTAGCCATATCCAAAACCCTCTATTTGTTTTATCATTTAAAGGTCTACTATGTAACCTTTCTCTAAGAGGGTACAGCTGGTGTTTCCACAAAAATGTTAATGCTTTGCCTGCTCTACACACTTGTCTATTTCCATGTAGACAGACATGCAACAACGCAAGGCTAATCAGATCAGTCAGATCTGTGGAGAGGCTACCTTGCTCACAGTAAAAAGAATAAGAATGCAAGTTTTTAGGTCAATAAAAACCCATATTAATGAGCAAATGCAAGATGGATACGTTTAATGCCATGCTGGGACATTCCAACCAAAAAATAATATCCAAATGGCAGTACAAACCTCTTTGATGTGGAGGAAGTCTTTGGCTTCGAAGGAGATGGCCATGCCCTGCACCGGGACATCATCACTGGGACCAGGGTTGTACCCAACATTTGTTCGCACCGCAAAAGCCACTGGTTTGGTCTGAAGCAGGAAGTAAAATATGCATGTGCAATATGCAATTATACACACCACAAAATAATCATAAGAACTAAAAAGTGTAACCCTAAATGTAAAATAATAATCTTATGGGCAATGTGAATGAAAGTAAAATTTATTATACAACATCTCTATAAATCTCAACATAAAATGCGGGAGATGTTATATGACACTAGACTATAGCAGTACATTGACCTCTGACCTTTGCCTTTTCGAGCGTGGCGAGCGCCTGTCGATCGGCCTCTTTCCTCAGGGCCTCGGGGTCCTCGTCCAGGGACACGTCTGAGTCTGAGGGCCGGCTGGTGTACGAGTCTGCAGAGCCCTAGAACAACAGAAATAAACTGTAAGAAGATGCAATGAAATCCACTGGCACAATACTACTAATGCGATATATCAGAATTGCTAAAAACCCGAGCTTTAAGCATTTCACAAAGGTAAATGGACCAAAATGAACCACTAACGAAAAGATTTTATCACTTTGTTTGTTGAAAGAATACACCTTTTTATGCAATTCGTTTCAGCAGAACAGTGGCCATGTCTCCTTACAAATGCTCAATCTCCCATGATCTTGGAAGTTAATCAAGGCCAGGCCTGGTAAGTACTTGGCTGGGAATACCAGGTGCCAAACTGGGGCAACAGTGGCTCTAATGCATACTGTTGCTGTGTCAAGGCAAGTCACATAACCACTTTGCCTAATATTACTGTGACTGTTTTATTTTACAATAATACTGTTTTATTTTACAAACAAATCTAAAATCAAGGTTAACAATACATATTTTGCTGCTGCATAGCACAAAATGAAATACACTATACCTGTACTTTTATTTCGCTTATTTTTTATTTTCAGTTATTCAATAGCAAGTGTTCATCATTTCACTGTATATTCTGCTTTTTAAATCAAATATGTAATAATTGTTCAATGATTTACAGTGACCCAGTGAACTCTGCACCTCTTTGTGCTCATCCACTGGTCCATAACTGACATAATGGGGGCCAGGTCTTCAGTCTGTGTAAGGGGACCCTCCTGTAACATGAACTGGGCTGGATGCATAACAACATTTCCACTGCAAACAAGAGGAGTGTTAATGGTCCATGTGTGGGCGTGCCAAGTGGGTACAAGAGGAAACCACATAAGGGCTTTAAAAATAATATTATTGAAGCAGCATTCCCTGGTAACATAGCATGGTGACAATAGGGCATAAAGGCATTGAATAGGCATAAGTGGCATTACTAGGGGAATTTAAAGATGCACTATGGAACTTTTCTGAGCATCCATCTGTGTGTTTCTTGTAAATGTTACTGTTTGCCTGGAATGTTTCATATCATGTCTGATATAAAGTTCTTTCTCTATCTTTTATTTAGTCAGTTACCTTTATTGCTTCAAATATGTGGTTTGGTGGAGTCACTTGCTTGTCTCCGTGGAGATTTTATGCTATTTTATGGAGCATACCAGACAAAACAACAGCTCCATGCATGAACAAAAGAAGGTTTTAGGCCCTCAAACTAATCTGAAATGGTCTTTTCAATAGTTGATCAACTGAACCACTGCAAAACCACACCATGGACTGGAACAATGCCAAATACAGCTGGATCAGAGAGGCCACTGAGAAAAAAGTATAACAAAATCTATGAAGCAAAATGACTGAGCATACAGATGATCATACACTTAGGATGCTGTCCTGTCTGCAGTGCACAATACACATCAAAACACTATCAAGATTCAATTTGTCATAGTTTTCATGCACACATAAAAATATTTCCATCTAAAATCAGCAGACAAATGCATATACAAACACCTCTGCCTGATCAAGAAAAGTTTAAATTATGGATGAGTGTGCAGTTAACCAAATTTAAATTACCGTAATCATTTTAAAATATCAACGATTTTCAGTTGGCAGGTCTACAGTCAATATACCCTTTGATAAAAGCATGTGGTTTGTAGCAAAGTTCTGACTGAAGAAATTTCACTATTGTTTGTGTTAAATGGCACTGATTAAGAGTCTTGTTTGTGTTCATTAAATACAGAGAGCGAACACAAGGGACAAAGTCATGATGAATGTTTCTGCTTAATCACCAGCCCTGGTTTAAACTACGGAGACAGCACGAACTTAAAAATGCTATATTTTATTTTTCCTATTTTTAGTTGGGCAACAAGTGAGCTAAAATCTGAGATAAAGATTTGTCTATGTTTACGTACTTAAACGGACCTGGCCTTGCTACTCTTACCACAATAAACATTTAGTTGGTAGATGTACCTTTTGAAGCGCGCTGAGCAATTTAAACACCACTTGCTTTTTAAACAAAATCTGAGACAATTATTTAATGAGCATGCTAACCTGACTCTCTTTTATAAACTGACCCTAATTGCTACTCTTATTACAAAACACATCTGGGGAAGTAGATATCACTTTTGAAGCCTGTATATTACACAAAATTTACTATTCTGAGTTTTAAATTGTTATGTTATTGTTGATGTTATAATGTTATAATCTCCTCAAAAACATACCCGAAGTTGTGTTTTGTTTCATTCACATGCTTAAGTAATCCTGCATTATTAGTCTCCAAAGTCAAAGTCAAAGTCAAGTCAAAATACTCTGTTGTACCTTGTGATGTGATAAAGCAGTAGTTTTCACGATAACAGCTCCTTTCACCTTTAGTTCAGTAGACACTAGCAAATCCAGGACTGAAATGATCACTTTACCGCTTCCTGTATTTTGGTTTTCCTCTGTTTAGTTGCACAACAGGTTAGCTCAAATGATTTTCCTAACGTGTTAACTTGACTCTCTTTCATAAACTGACCCAAATCGCAATCCAGGAAGTAGATGTAAGTTTTGAAGCACGCTGAGTAATTTAAACACCACTTGCTGTATTTTATTTTGAGCTTTCCCTGTTCACACATACGACAGGTTCAGTTGTGTGGGCGGCGCTGACAGGAGAGCGCACAGATGAGAGTGAGTCACAGGCTGTGGATTTTAAAATAGAGGTGAGACTGCGTTGGGATGACAAGCAGCATATGTAAATGATGCTAAAACCAACTGTGACTGCAGACAAGCACACACCTGGGATTCTATCAAGATTTTGGTGTTAATTGAAAAATGATTCCATTGAAGAAATAACATGATTAGAAATGTAGGATAAAGGAAAAAAAGTCCAAGAGAAAGTAGTTCAAAGTTTCAAAAATGGCTGTTGTGTTTAAAGGGACCATATTATGCTATTTCCTGATCTATGTTATAATGTTGTTTCCTCATCACAAACATACCTGGGGTTATGTTTTTTTCATTCACGCATGAACATAACACATAAACCCTCTGTTTCACCTTGTAATGTCATGTGGTAATACAGGAAATACTCCACTGTGTTTTTAAAATTCAATAAAACTTCACAACAATCATTTGGATCATTTCAACCTTGGAAATTCCAGTCGCAGCTAAACAAAAGGTAACTGTTAACTTTAAAACAACTGCTTCATAACATCACAAGGTGAAAAGAGCATTTTAAGATTTGGAGATGTGGACAGACTCATAATGCAGGATTACTCAAACATGTGTGAATGAAACAAAACACAACTCCTGGTATGTTTTTTATGAGATAACAAACAACATTATAACATGGTTTAAAGCTCACAAGAGTCAATTTTGTGTAATATAGGACCTTTAAATGTATAGATTACAGTGCTTCCCGCAGATTGGTTAGTTGACCGAGGGGGTGAAAGTGTGAAAGTGAGGACATGTTCGGAGGGATGTAGTCAAGGTGGGGGGCAAGTGTTGTCAAAGCGGCTGTCCAAACTATAAAGTGCTGTGGGAAACACTGGATCATCCTTGGTTTGGGGAACATTACGATTGCAGGAATGGAGCGATGCCTTGGCGTTGGCGTGTAATTCAAGCTAATATTTCTGCTTGATATGACTTACTACTATAAAGGTGCACTATGTAACATTTCTGTTGGATTGTACACTACATGCTTCTCTCCAGAAAGATGTTATTGCATTACCTGAAATGTTCCGTTAAACTTATCCATATAAAATTTATTCAATTATTTTTAACTACTCAAAAATACACTGAGATATTTCACAGATCTGTCCTAGTGGCGTCAGCTTCTTGTTTCTGTGGAGATACAGATATGTTTAATATGTCATGCAGCGGAACATCTAGGGATATGTAAATGAAGCTAAAAAACACTATGAAAATACAGACGATAGACAAGCGCACATGAGGGATTTCTATTAAGATCTTGCTGCTAATTAAAAAGGTTCCATTGAGGGAGTTAGAAATACAGAGTGGAAAGAACATGGAAATGTAGGGTGGAAAAAAGTCCCAGTGAAAGTTGTTAAAAGTTTCAGAAATAGTTGCGCGCCAGTGAGAACAGACACGCATCAAATGATTTACAAAAGAGAAGAAAAAGAAAAGAAATATTAGCAAGATTTTTGTGTTTTTTGGAGTTTTTGACAATCCGGGTGAAGAGTATTCATTTGTTGATCAAATATTTCCAATACCTCCAGATCAGATGTTAGTTAAATATTAATTACGTAATTCACAACATTTTTACTAAGTTAGAAGTTCTAGTCAGACAAACAACATGGGTTATATAATGGCATAAAAACAATTATACAATTATTAATAATTCAACTGAAAACCAAACTAAAGGTCCTTTATTACACAAAATTGATTCTTGTGAGTTTTAAGCCATGTTTATGTAATGCTTTATTCTTTATTCTTCAGTCTGTCTACATCTCGAAAGCTCAAAAATCTCTGGTCCACCTTGCTGTCATGGGGTGGTAGTTTTCAAGTTAACAGCAACCATTTACCTTTAGTACAGTAGAGATGAGCAAATCCAGTGCTGAAATCACACAAATGATCCTAGAAAAGGTGTAGCTAGAATTTAAAATCACAATGGAGCACTTCCTTTGAGAAAAAGAGGGTTTGTGCGAATGAAACAAAACATAATTCCAGGTATGTTTTTGATGACATTATAACAGGTCAGAAATTAGCATAATATAGCTATATTAAACTAAACTCAATTATAAACAAACTGCATAAAGACTTCCATTTTGTACTAATAGGTTCAGTTACTCCATTTTCAGTTTGCTCCTCAGACTGTCCACTATTAGTTTGTGTTTTATCGTCCCCACACTGACGACAGCCTGCACACGGGACCTGAGAATAAACCAAAAATCAATGTCTCAAATAACCTCCATTTTTCATCCTTTTCACTGCCACAGATTTGGCAGCAGAGTTCAGGCTCGCTGTTAAAAGGCAAGTCATAACTCACAGCACTTCAGCAACTTTCACAATGTATTTCCACTCAGTGCCCAGTACAAAAGCT